GAGATCTCATTGACAAGCTCATCCAACTCGACCCGAGAGAAAGGCTGGGTGCAAATAAGGACGAGAAGTACCCAAGCGGTGGCGCTGAGATCCAAGCACATCCCTGGTTTGCTGACATTCACTGGGAAACGCTCCTGGAAGATGAAGCTCAGTTTATTCCAAACCCGGAGCATCCAGAGGACACCGAGTATTTTGATTCGCGTGGGGCCACCCTGTCGTCTTTCCCTGAAGAACTGGAAGACCAAATTTCACCCGCAGGTACAACACCGAATGGTTCGGAATATCCCAATCGTCCCCACGATGCACTTTTCCGCGCCAGAACGCAAGCAACTTCTGCTAAGCGTGGCCTCATGCCTCTCCATATTCCTGCCCATTTGGTACGCGATTCCCGCAATCGCAGGCTGAGTGAACCTGTCATCGCCGACGACTTTGGCAATTTCACTTTCAAGAACCTGCCCGTCCTGGAGAAAGCCAACAAGGACATAGTCGAGAGGATGAGGAAAGAAGCAATGCAAGCTCAAGCTAGAGGGTATGCGCATTCGCAAGCTATGTCTGCCGCCAACAGTCCAGCGCTAGGATCTCCGGGACCATCCCTTGAAGGCAGTCCGATGATGCCAATGCCAGTTAAGCGGGCGCTCTCCATCAGCAAGGGTCACAGGCCAGGCTCTCCATCGAGCCTGGCTACATCCAACTCGTCCCCCAGCAGGCCTTCGCAGCCTTCCTCACCCCTCTTGGTTCAGTTCTCCACGGCGCAGCACCATGATAGACGAAAGACGTCTGGCTCCTCCCAAGGAAGCAGTTCTCTTGCTCCAAGTAGCTTTTTCGATATCCCCCACGACGCCGTCAAACACGGACCAACGGCAACGTCATCTCCCATCAAATCTGCTCGGATGCCTTCGGTCTCTCCCGCAAAAGGGATGCCTCCACCTCGAGCTGCGACAGTCAATGGACGCACAAGGTCACAGACTGTCGGCTCACAGGAAAGTGACGGACAGGCCCCTCAGCGAGAACCTTTTGTTCCTGGTCATCATAAGCGCAAGAGCCAACTGCTCGTCCGAGATGTGTCACCATCGTCCTCAGACAATGAATCGGCACAAGCGAAGGCGCTCCTCAAGGTGCAACGCCGGCGGCAGAGCTCGAGACGACTGTCGCAGATCAACTTTCTTGAAGGCCCTACCTATCGACCCCTGGATGTCCTGATCTGTGAGGACCATCCGGTGTCCAGAATGGTAATGGAGAGGCTGTTTGAGAAGTTGCGCTGCCGGACGATCACCGCAACCAATGGTCCTGATGCTCTACGACTTGCTATTAGCCAGATTCAATTCGATGCCATCTTTATGGAATTCAAGCTGCCCCTCATCAGCGGAGTCGACGTTGCTCGCATGATTCGAGACACAAAGAGTGCCAATACCAGCACTCCAATTGTCTGCATTACAGGATATCTGAAAGATCTTCCCGAAGTCCACCACTTCGACACTCTCATGCAGAAACCGCCGACCACCCAAAAGCTGACGGAGATGTTAGCCAAGTACTGTGCCTGGAAACCCGCACCTAAAGACTTCCGGATGGCAGTTCCATTGACCATCCCACATCTCAACACGCGATTCGATCCTATACCTACTCAAGACAGCCCCAGCTCTGTTGCTTCGAGCTTGGCACCGACAATGCCCGACTCATCATACCGAGGGTCAGGTCGGGAAGATTCGATTGGCAGTGGCGGGTTTTTTAGTGATCTGGAATCCTTCAAGAGTGATGACGTTCCGGTCATTGTCTCTCGAGCCGCTACTGATGAGTGGGCAAAGGCCGGGTTAGGAATTTCCGACGATATTGTCCTCGGACAGCGGCCTTATATCCAGTCTGGTTATCCTCATCTTGTCCATACGGAGTCTGCACCCCCAAGCGCTTGTATCGACGACACTGGTGGGTATGGCCTTCAGACCCCTCGGCGACAAAAGTCATCGGAGGCTGTCAGAGTGAAGCGAGAACTACTGGAGAAGAACATGAACCATGCCATTGGAGCAGCGGAAGAAGGAGATGACGAAGACGAGGAACTGGGTGACGTCCAAGTGCGAGCGCGGTCACCTCTCGGTAAACCACCCCGTCCATCATCCAAACTTGGAATTGAAATGCTGCGCACGAATAGTCGGGGAAGCGTCATTTCCATGAGCGAGGACAGGTCAACGGAGCCAGACAGTCTCCGGAGGTCTCTGGAAGTTCTCGAAGAGCGCATGGAGAATCTCAAAATCCCCGAGGAACCCAGTGTGGGTGCATTGACAGAGATTCAGCCGCGGAAGAAACTCGAGCTCTCGCAGCATTCACATCCTGAGCAGGGGACTGTCCGTTCGCCCAGCGGCCAGATCACCCCTCCCGTCATATTCCCTCCAAAACCGGGGACCACTTTTGCAGATATCGAGATGGACATCACTCCCGTGCCGACCAAAATGATCAACATCGAAGAGGAGCCTACGCCGAAGCCCCCAGGCAGCCCCTCGAAACTAGAAAGAACACGATCTCAGCGCTAGTTTTATTCTACCCTTTCTCATGTGTCTATGCTTTATGACCGACTTATGGAAATTTGCTCGAACGATTGGAGCCTGGGCCTTTTTCATTTTCTTTTGTACACACAATGACCTGTTGTTTGCAAGGCGCTGGAGGCGAGGGACGTGCAAGCATCACTGGCGTTTGGTTGAAGGCGGAAAATGCTCGCATAGCTATACGTGTATTTCATTCTCTGGCGTCCATGCGTCGGTGTATGATACAAACACGGCCTAAATAGTTTTGACAATCAATCATCATTCTCTACAATGATCTTGCAGTCTTGTCAGTATTGGTTCTTTCTCTTCCCACGTTCGTTTGCTCCGTGGTGGACGCTCTTGCCAACTTGTGATAATCTTACAGGCGGGTGACGACATATATGTACTATGGTACGTAAATTACAATAGCGGTAGCGGATATTGGAACTGACGCCCTCTGATTGGCTATCTAAACTGCACCTGCCTTTTACATCTGTCTCAATCAGGCACAGTCTACGGCGGCCGCGGTCAGTACGAGGTACATATACCTGTCTGCACCCCCGCGCCCTCACCCTCCCTTCTTTTCCTTTCCTCGGGAAGCAATCATGGCACCAAGGTACGTCAAGTCGCTCAGCACCATTTCAAACACGCGTATATGAAGCTAACCGGTGGTACAGTCGAACTGACGAGTCCTCGACCACTCCGCCCCCATCCCAGGCTTCGCCCTGGACGAAGCCCATGCAATGGGTGGTTGTCCTGGCGGTGTTGTCCTTGGTGGTGGGCGTTTTGTCTTTCCTGTTTAACGAGAAAGTTCGGACTTAGATAGTCCAGAAGACAGAACGGCCTCGGAGGAGCCAGAATCCTCCCGGGGAGAGACCTCCCCTACCAGTGCCGTTGGATCTGGTAGGTGCCCGAGGAGAACCCGGGACGGAGGCGGCGCCGTCCGAGGTGGCGGGGGTGGTAGAAGAGGAGGAAGAAGGAAGGGTAAGTTCATTCTCATATCTGATGTTGTTGAAGGCAAATGGAATGCTAACGGATATCACAGAGTGATGTTCACTCCAGCGAGCCCCCAACTCGCTAGTTGTTTTTTCGGCGGCGTGGTTGCGCCTTTATTTTGCATTATTATTACACAGAGGGCCGGGTCCCATTATTATCTTGTATTCTTATGCCGGGCATGGTCTCTGCCTCCACGTGGCGCTCGGTGGAAACTTGGGTTGGTTGTACCAAGGCAAAAGAGACCCGGCCCCCCCTCTGTGTGAAAGAGATAGCTTGAAGACTTGGGTACATTGGATCGGCAACGAGTTCACACAACAATCATCATTCTGTCGACCGCTGCTCTCAGTCAAATAGAGCATGCACTCCAAGCCGAACTCAACCTGAAGTCCTTCAGAAATTCAAAGTCTCTCAATCACATTCTGTCAACCGCCGCTCTCAGTCAAAACAGAGCGTGCACTCAAGCCAAACTCAACCCAAAGTGAGAAAATGCAAAACTTTCTTCAATCACTGTCAACCACTGCCAACCACTGCTCTCAGTCCTACAGAGCATCGCATCCCCAAGCGAATTCAAACTCAAGTCAGAGGATACAACTTTCTTCCATAACCAACCACTGCTCCAAATCCTACAGAGCATCACAACCTAAAGCCAGAGGATACAATCCCAATCAACCACTGCTCTCAGTCTTACAGAGCACCACAAATCCAGCCGGACGCGGCCTCAAGTCAAAGGACACAACTTTCTTCAATCCCAACCAACCACTTCCAACTACTGCTCTCAGTCCTACAGAGCACCACACATCCAGCCTAACTCAGACTCAAGTAAGAGGATACAGCTTTCTTCAATTCCAACCAACCACTACCCACATTCCAACAAACTCATGTGGAATTTCAGCCGAATCCAATTCCCAATCTCTCCTCAATTTCCGGACGGCAAAGAGGTCTCACGGTCCTCAAAATTTTTGGAACCTTGTGCCAAATGCCGCGTATTCACTGGCAGAACAAACACAACCTGAGTCATTCAACCTCAAAAATCTGCAGTATCCTGCCTGTGGAGAATACTTGTCGACCACCGCTCACGTTACCAAAGGATTCGGAACGCCAAGTCGCGTCCGGCCCAAAGTCAATCTTCTTGAAGACTTTCACCAACCAATCTTCGTTGCACGCCGCTTGAGATGATCTCAAAGGCCACTGGCTGTTGCTCTAGGTGCCAACATATTCCATATGAATCTTCCCCTGTCGCCATGTCTCTGCAAACTGTTCCGCAGACCAAGAAAACCTTACAAATACTGAGCTTGAGGACCTGTCAACAGGAGGGCCAAGGTCCTCAGCAAGATGGCATTATCTAAGAAGACGACTCGAGTCACCACAACTTCATTTCGAACACTACCACAACCATTCTGCCTCCAGGCTCTGGCGATATCAAATCAAATCTGATCCACCACTTACGCTGGTAGCGACCTCAGAAGCTTGCCCTCGCTCATCAACACAACCATGGCGAATGTTTCTGTCCTTATCATCCTGGTAACGCTTGCCGCCATCTTCCAGCAAGTTTCGGTTGTACTAGCGGAGCCAAAACTTTGCACACCACTGGGTCATCCGGATTGGGATTGCAATAGCCCGCTTGTTTGTGAGAAGGATTGGCCTTCGGAGACAGGGAATTATGGGTCGAGAGATCTCAACACCAAGATCAAACAACGCAGTGAATCTCAGGGGAGAATTTTGTTCTTGGACAGTGAGGTCAATTCAACAACCGTCAAAAACGACATTCATCGACGCCGATTAGCCACAATGTTGGCGGCTCAAAATTCTCAAAACCATTCAATTGTTTCTCGATCTGCCACATCAGTGTTTCCAGAGCAGTGCTGTCGTCTTACCGTGGAGTGCTTTGACTTCATCGAGAAGGAGATCCCAAATCATCGCAGAGATTACAATGGCCGACTCCTGATAGAGGATTTCAGTCTGTGGAAGAAGGCCGAATGTTGCATGTCAGACTTCGTGACACCAAAGTCGTGGTGTTTGACTCCGCCGCCTCGAAATAGCTGGTTCTCGTGGCATGCGCCACCTGAATGCGCGGAGTTCCACTAGAGAATGTGGGAGAATGTCTGAGCGAGCCTGTCGACGCAGGTATGGATGGACATAGTGGTGATGTTGGTGGCGGTATGGCATCTTGAAGGTCCTCAGTCTCTACAGAAAGATCCATGGAACAAGAAAACCTTACAAATGTTGAGCCTCTGGTGCTGGTGCTTTAAATTCTGGGTCCTCTGCAAGACGGCGTTACGTGAGAAGACCTCGATCTCCACATTCTCTGCAATCAACATCAACAAACGTTCCTCAAAGCCTCCAGGCAAGAATGCTGCAAAGCAAGCAATCTCATCCAACACTTTGACGAGTTGCAACCTATCAATCTCTTTGGCACAAATCAACTCAACAACGGCGCCTTCTACCACCAAGAAGACACTCACCTGCAGGGACCGTTGGGGCGCAAGGAAGGGGCGTGGCTCAGGGGAATGTTGAGAGGTCCTCTTTGGTGGGAGGAGGTGGTGGGGAGACATGCTCAGAGCATTACTGGTTAGAAGCAATATCGGCTTTATTTGAGGTAGCCAATCGAAAAAATCTGTACAGTCGATTGAACTGCTTTGTCGTATCCCTCTCCGTGTTTGTTCCACAGCCTCTGAAGTACTTGTGTGCGAATACCTGTCGATGTAATCACGTCGAGACCTCGGACTGTTGCCTGTCACGTGGCTGTTTCAATCACGCCTTGGTTGGAAGGGCGGCGCACCAACCACAAGCCGTCTTCCAGCAATGACATCATTGTCGGCTGCTGGTGCCTTTTATCCGGCTTGGCATTTGATGTTCATCTTGACGACCGCAAATCACCACAACCACCCAGCTATTTGCCTTGCACCGTCAAGCCTTTTCATAGCTTCGCTTGCTATCTCTTGGAATTTCTTGGTATACGTAAAGCAATGGGAAGCTTTTCTGACTGTTGCTATCATGCCACGAGCATGGACGTTTGCCGCACCAAGAGCCGTTTCGTGACAACGACCCGTGGTGGGATTTGACGATCACTGGGTCACTGTTGCATCGACTATCGCATCGTCCATCCTGGCGGATGGAGCACATACGATCCGTGGCAACGAAGGGTAGTAGATGTTTACAACTGCAATGCCTGGTATTGGTGGATTTCTCAGCACCCATACACCACTCCTGTGGCGGCTCATGTTCCTGGCCAGGGTCATTATCGCGATGACCGACCTCTGTCCAGATCTGCGAGTTGAGTACATGCATAGTTGTATGATGATCTATGTATGTTCGGGGTACATACCCTGTGCGGTTGGCGCTTTGGTCGAGTTCCGCATCTTGTCGCCCTGCGACTGATAATCCCCTTGGGTCTTCACGTTCTCATGATCTCTTTATATCCTTTTCTCTCTCGTACATTACTTCCTCTGCATATACCTGCACCTCACTTATCACACGAGAAAGTCCTGAAATCAGACGATGGCCGAACACGAGTTTCCGGCCGCTCAGTACGTATCCCCCAACCAGTTCATTTGATCCATGTTCAATCTGACCGAAACCTCTTCCTAGACTGCACGGGGAGAAACACAAAGTGGATGATGATTCTGTGAAAGCCATCCACGACATCACTGGGGGCCCACTCACGGCAGATACAAAGGCACTCCCAACTCTTAAAGAGCACGGCTTCATCGGTGACAGGGAGAGACCACATTCCCCGAGCGAGGATACCGAAATTGGCCAAACCGAAGATGGATTGGAGCCGAACGAGCAAGAAAAGAAACATTTGCGTCACGTTGGCGAAAGCCTCCCTTTTTCCACCTTCCTGGTTGCTTTTGTCGAGCTGTGTGAGCGTTTCACCTTCTACGGTTGTCAGGGTATATTCCAGGTGAGGACACTCACATCGCGTATCCAAGTGATGCGGAGATTTGGCTAATATTTTGACAGAACTATGTCCAGCGACCGCTTGATGGATCTCAGGGGCGAGGCGCCCTGGGAATGGGACATCAAGGCGCAACAGGACTGACTACTTTCTTTAAGTGAGAAATGCCTCCCTTCATCACCACCCTGTTATCAATTTTGTAGCTAAGCCCCAAACCAGCTTCTTCTGCTACGTCACACCAATACTGGGTGCGATCGTTGCCGACCAGTACCTGGGCAAGTACAAGGCCATCCTTTACTTCTGCGTGGTCTACCTGATTGGGCTTTTGATCCTGTTTACGACTTCATTGCCGGTCTCCCTGCAGAATGGGGCCGGCCTCGGCGGGTTCATCACAGCGATCATTGTTATCGGCATTGGAACTGGAGGGATCAAGTCGAATGTTGCCCCGTTGATTGCGGACCAGTATAAGCGCAGGAGAATGGTCGTAAGTAGCCGAGCACCCAATGGTCATAAGTGGGCGAAAAGGAGAATACTGACGCAAGAAAGATGTCGACGACCCCGAAAGGCGAGCGAATCATCATCGACCCAGCCGTGACCATCCAGCGGATCTACATGATCTTTTACACCTGCATCAACATCGGTGCCTTGTCTCTCCTGGCGACGCCGTACATGGAACGCGACGTCGGCTTCTGGTCCGCGTACTTGCTCTGCTTCTGCATGTTCTGCGCCGGCACCGCGGTTCTCATCATGGGGCGCAACATCTACGTCGTCCGGCCACCCCAGGGGTCCATCATCACGGACGCGTTCAAGGCAGTTTGGCTCATGATCAAGCACCGGGACCAAAACGCGCCGAAGCCGAGCTGGATGGCGGAAAGAGGCATTCACAAGACGGTCCCGTGGAACGACCATTTCATCGAAGAGTTGAAGAGAGCGCTGGTCGCCTGCCGAGTCTTTGTCATCTATCCAATCTGTAAGCTCACCCTTGGAAAGTAAAGATTGAGAATTCGATTTGCACATCGAGCAAAGGAGGAAAACATGCTGATGCTACACGCTTAGACTGGTGTGTCTACGGACAATTCAGTGGCAACTTTGTCACCCAGGCCGGTCAGATGCGAGGACATGGAATTCCCAACGACTTGATGCAGAATTTTGATCCGGTGAGTACGCAGCTCTGGGAGGAGAACCTTCCTTCTCAGAAAACGAGAATGCTCACGAGTCTGCCTGTAGATCTCCATCATTGTCTTTGTGCCCATCTTGGATAGATTCGTCTACCCTCTTTTGAGAAAGATGCACATCCCTTTCCCACCGATCAATCGAATTGTCTTGGGATTCTGGATCGCATCCCTTGCCATGATGTACGCCGCAATTGTGCAGCACCTAATTTACAGGTAAGTGATGGGAACGGCGACAGATTTTCTTGCTGACGGGACGCCACAGCTCCGGACCGTGTTATAAGCAGCCACTGTGCGACGCGTCGCTTGTCGATGGCGTCGCTGAGGGCAACAATGTGCACATTGCGATCCAAGCCCCAGCTGTAAGTGGAGAAGCAGATCGCGCATTGGTTACCGGCGTTCAGAGGCTGACACTCCGACACAGTATATGCTCATCGGTATCTCCGAAATCTTCGCCTCAGTGACAGGTCTGGAGTACGCATACACAAAGGCTCCCCCGAGCATGAAGTCTTTTGTGCAATCCATCTACCTCCTTACCAATGCGTTTGGTTCCGCGCTAGGAGAGGCACTGACGCCAGTGGCTTATGACCCTGCCATCCTGTGGATGTTTGTGGGACTTTGCATTGCGAGCTTCTGCGCTGGATGCCTGATTTGGATCCTGTTCCATGGGTTGAATGAAAGGGAAGAAGAGATGAATGCACTGGACGACGATGTCGAGGAGGAAGGCGGATATCGCAAAGGAAGCAAAGTTACATATTGACCGGGAAGGCTGAGTGCCCGGCACTCGGTGGTTTAAACTTCTTGTGGAAAGCAAATATTGGGAGGGCTGATGTGATGTGCGATACGAGAAGAACAGCGTCTAGACCCAATCATCGGAGCATTTCCCTTGGGAGGGGATGATGGTTTGTGTTCAAATCCGGATCTGGAGCGGGTGGCTGGGACAAGATGGTTTGACGCACATTGGCTGCCAGAGACACGCAACAATTGCCACTTGTAGCTATGGCAGGTCGTTTTGAATCTATTGCGTACCACATCATTATTACTGATCAACAAGCACCGCGTTGTAAAACCCCGCTCCCGCTTAGAGCAAGGTACAAATTGTTGCAGGGTCAAGTGATCCTCGACGAATCCCAGAGACTTAATCGCCCAATACCGAGCACTGGAGGGCCAAGGGCCGGGGAATAAGCGAGAGACACAAGCTCGCACCTAGGCAGGCCAAGTGCGCAGGCGTCGCAAGCCGCGGCTGTGGGCGAAAGAGGTGATTCGTGAGAGGCCGGGAAGGCGTGGGCGTTGGTCTCTAGTTTCCGTGCCGCAGAGCGGGTGGCGACAAGAGCGTGAGGACGGAGGGTGGCCGTAGGGATCGAGGGGGAGTGGGCGGTGGTCAGGGCAAGGTTGTATCGAGGGGAACAGGTGAGTAGGATGTCATCGACAGATATGAATTGATCGAACGATTGTTTCCTAGTCAATGAATGTCCTACTTGTATTCGGTATACAAGATGTGGATATGGATGTGGCGCAGGCAGAAGAAAGTATGAATGAATCATGATGCAGGAATCCCGGCCATCCCGCAGCCAGGCAAGCCAGGGCTTGGGGGAGGACCACTGAGGACCTCAGTCAACAACTTAGGCGGCGCTAGGTACCTGGACGCCGAGTAGCTTTCTTTAACTAAACCGGATTTCCGCAGGTGTGAGCATCACAGTCACTGCAGTTCTCCCGCCCAGCCCAGCCCTTCAATATTCTCTCTTCTCCCCCCCCCGCGCAGTTTTTCCTCGGACTTGGTCTCGTGAACCAGCATTGGCACCACCATCACCAGCTTGCCAACTGCGCCATTCTCACCCTTCACCATCACCCTCTTCTTCTCCAGCTCCTGCATCACTATTACCTCGTTCATCCCGTTCCATTAAACCTCGATCTTCTATCATTCTGCAGCAGCCGCAATACATCCTCCTTCATCTTAACCGGGGATGCTACATCCGAAACCGCCCTACTGAAGACCTGCACATCCGCCATCTGGGCCAATCCCGTCTCCGAAGCAGAGGTTGCTTCTTCCCCCTTGAAACAGCCTCCCCCTTCACTTCGTAACCTTTTGTCACTCAATCCGCCTCGTGTGTGAGGGAGGATTCAGGCCCATATTGGAGCGCCGGAGGACCAATCCTAATCTCACCCTTGCTTCGATTGATCGTTCCGTCATTCCTCCTCGATTACGGATTTGCATACGTCGAAATCGATCGCCACCTACTCCTCCCTATCCTTCGCGACTCATCCTCTCTCCTTTTTGTCCTCCTGTTCATGTCTCTGCCCATCTACGACTGGTTCGAGGGATAATCAGTGCTTTCATCCTGGATCCGTGGTCGCCGGCACAGCTTAGATGCTCCCATCAGCACCCGGTTGCGCACCCGCCATCTGCACGTTGACTACGTCCACCCTGTCGAACACTCTATCTGCGCCGTCATACCTCATCTAAGATGGCTTCTTCAACATTAACTACGACGGCGTCGCCCACTGCGAGCCCAACGGGGAACCCTGGTGGTAATGGAGGCTCTGGTCCTAGTTCGCCACTACTCTTTTTCGTCGCTCTCGGCTTTGGTGTCGTCTTTACGAACTTATGGTGAGCTTCAATCAACGTCGGGCATCTCTGAATCATCTAATCTTGTCGTGTGTGTGCCTGTCAGGATTATCGTCGGTGTCAAATACTGCTTCCGATATAACCAGCGCAATCGACAGCGCATGAATGGCGAAGATCCGGACGGGGTGGATCTCGCAGCAATGCCTCGACAACACCGCCGCAGGCGCGAGAAGAAGCTCATGACAATCGAGGAAGTCAACGAAAAGTTCCCTCTGACCAAATACAAAACGTGGCGTTCGAATCGTGCCGATGAAGGCCTGCCCACTGCTGGAGGGATTACTACGGCTTCTCGACCGGCCAGCATACACAATGCCCAACGAGATTCAAAAGAGTCAAAGGAAATGGAAGCCCAGGAATTGGCACATGCACAAACAAACACTTCGTCCGAGGAGAAAACGCCCGAGCATGGCGAACCAGAGCTTGTAGAGGCTGAAAAGAGTGACACGGAAAACCGGCCAGCCACGCCGTCCCGGCCCAAATCCAGTCCATCCACGGTGACACCAGGTACTCCGGTACACAAAGTCACCAGTCACGATGACGAGGATGAAGACGAAGAACGTATTCAGACGGCCCTTCCTCCCGAGCAATTACCCGATCCCGGCGATGCTTGTGCAATTTGTATCGACAATATCGACGATGATGACGATATTCGTGGGCTACATTGTGGCCATGCATTCCATGCCTCTTGCGTTGATCCTTGGTTGACATCACGCCGAGCCTGTTGTCCTCTCTGCAAAGCGGATTATTACGTCCCCAAACCTCGACCCGAAGGTGCCGAAGTGCATCCAACAAACCTGCAACCGCCTCCAACGGCATTCTCGATCATCGGAAATGGTCGACCAGGCCGAAGACCGGCGATGATCATACCGGGGCGATTTATGAGTATCGTGTATCACGATCGCGATCGACATGGATTTCCACTTGTGGTGCGTGCGGAACGGACAGATCAGTCAAATCGAGAACAAAGTCGGAGGCAGCAAAGAGACACATTACCAAACTCAAATACAGCTGCGGGTCACCAAGGCGTCGATACTCAGTCGTCACGAAGACCACGGTTTGGCTTCAGAATACCAGGTCTAAGTCGACCAGCCCAGACACAAACGGCGGCTCCGGAAGCCCCGCCTACGCCTTCGCAGCTTGAAGCTGGAAGATGACGGGAAGCAACCCCCAGAAGCAACGATAATGATACGAGTTTTATGATAATTCTGACGAGAGGCTTCTTGACATTTGTTGGTTTCCCCGGGCCTTGGATAGGTGAAAACTCTGGGAGATGCACGGGCGAGACCAATTGCTCTGTTTGCATGAATGCTGAAAGGCTCGTCACTAGAAAGTTTGCATGGTATTAGCAACAACTGCGAAACATGACGTCTGCATATGTCCGGCAACATGGGGCTCGACAACTTTGCACTGCACTAGGTTCAGGAGTGGACAAGAACTGCGATTGATCTTGTTGGGATGTTGACCTCGAGATGTGATACCCCCGTCTCCATTTCTTGGCTATATGGCATACTGTATCTTTAGCCTCTCAGACTGTACCTGGACGAAGACTAAAAATGGACCATATTTGTTTTGCTTGTACGGAGCGTGCATGGTGTACTCGGTATTTCGATATAGATTGCAGGGAGTTGTGTATGGGCATTAATTGATGTATTACTAATGCTATACGGAGGTAGGCACGTGATGCTGAATGATACGTCGGAGCATTTACACCGAGTCCCGAGTTCCGAGTACGGTGATGCATAACTTGACAGTGCCAACATCCGAACCCATTGTGTAATATTACAGCTGTACCTCGTACGTAGGAGACAGAGACAGAGACAGAGGTAGATATGAGGTAGACATGTGAGAGAGAGGGGGCAGTATGGTTTTTATTTTGCATTTTCATGCACATTTTCCACGGCGCTCAGGTATGATAATCATGGCCATGGACATGGATGTGGACATGAATGTAGATATGTGATGTGTACTGTGATGTGTATTGTGATGTATATGTATGGAGATGTGGATTCGTAATCTGATAGATATATGTATGGATATGTATGGATATGAAGATATGTCTATAGATTTGTGTTTGTGTATGATGCATGTAAGTATGGAGACTATAGTGCATGCCAGGAGATGGTGTATGGTATATAAATAGGCTATAGAATGTAGGATATAGGATATAGGGTACAGGATACATTTCTTCGCCGCGGAATTGTGCATTGTCTCGAGACAGACAGAGAGAGAGAGAGAGTCTGTGTGTGTATGCGTGGCAGGTCAGTGTCCTCCTTTCTACAAAAGATTGCAACAAAGACTCCTGCTATATCGGTGCATTCTTCGAGGGATGTGGGAAATCAGTTCTTCTCCTCGTCTCTCCTAGCCGCCGCGGCGGCAGGCCTCCTCTCGACACTCGCCTCGACGTGCTCGGTCATGAGCTCCTTGACGTGCTTGATGAAGATGACGGCGACAATGGCCAGGGCGACAAAGGGGATGATGCTCGCCCAGGCGAGGCGGTAGGCGCGGGCGTAGGCCCAGTTGCGGGCGTCGAGGGCCGCGTCGAGGATGGTGCCGTTGAGGCCGCGCACGGCGTCGAACCCCTCACCCGCGCCGATGGCCTCGAGCAGGTCCGGCACCGAGCTCGCGGGGAGGCCCGCGCCCGTGGCGGCGCGCGTCACGTCGCGCGCCAGCGTCGCGTCGATCTTGCCGTTGATGATGGCGTCGAGCACCGCCGACCCGAACGCGCCCCCAATCGCCCGCGCCGACAGCGCAAACCCCGACGCCGTCGCGATGAAGGCGTGCGGCGCCGCGAACTGCACCAGCGCCAGGATCAGCGTCAAGGGGCCCGCCTGTCCGATCCCCGCCAGCACCGCGAACGCGTACTGTGCGTGGTTCTCGCTGGGTTTGATCGTCGCGTAGCAGATGCAGACGATCAGGAAGACCGTGTACGTGAAGATCAGCGGGTTCTTGAGGTCTTTGTATTTGGTCGAGTAGAGACTGTTTTGTCGTTGTGGTAAGCAAGTGTATAGATGGGTGATTAGACATCAGGGAGGAAGTTCTGGTGATTAAGGAAGAGGAAACATGGCTTAAGGGCGGGAGAGAGGCAGGGCTTACACCATGGGAATCGAGAAACCAATCGTCGGCAGCTGGTACGCCAGTTGGCGGATCGAGATTTGCCACGACGTCGTCTCCCATCCGAGATTGAGAATCACTTGTGGAGTCACGCTGTTGACGGCGCTGTAGAAGATCCATCTGTTTGTCAAGTGTCAGTCGTCTCAGAGTTCTTGAACTGGATCAATCATGAGTCGGACAAAACTTACCCTTCTACCGCAAAGGCAAAGACGGCCAGAGGGAAATTGTATCCGTTCTTGAACATGACCTTGACGAGAATCAGCGTATTAGGTGCAGAGAGAGGCTATTCAAGAGGTGCTCACATGGGCAACGATTCCATCGGTCCGTCCCTTCCATTCTATATTCCATCATTAGCTCATACCGCTCCTGGCAAGACTTTTCTGGTAGACCTCACCATATATCCCAAACAAGATCAGCAGAACGATGCCAATGACAAGCGGAGCGATGACATGGGCGTCGCTCCACGCATACGTGCCGCCGGTCCAGTCCAATGACAAGATAGTCAGGGTGGCGCCACCGACGAAGAGGACGGCGCCGATGGGATCGAGCGACCACAGTACCTCGACAAAGGTCATCTTGGGGTAGTCGGAGCGGCGGGGCGGGAAATAGAAGGCCAGGAGCATGAGGACCGTGGCGCCGTGGAAAGCGGCTTGCATCCAGAAGATGTTGCGCCAGCCGTCCTTTTCGACGTTGGTGACGGCGCCGGCGCCGAGCTGTCCAACCCTTCACCACGACATGGCCGGGGGAGGGGGCCATGATATCAGCACCCTGGTTGGGAAAGACGCACACATACACACGGGGGGATACTACAAGGTGGGAAAACAAAGACTTACAGGCCTCCAAAGGCGCCGCCGAGGAAGTTCGCCCCGTTGGCAATGGCTCGGTACTTCAACGGGAGCACTTCGGCGGGGATGGCCACAATGATGCCCAAAGACGAAAGGCCCACGCCGATCAGGATCCCTCCTCCTATCAAGGTGTTCATGGAATGGGCCGTGGCAGACACGACGGATCCGACAAAGGCGACCGACAGTTGAATGCAGGCGAGGTATTTGCGGTCCACCACGTCCGACAGCCTCCCTATGATGGGACACAGGACACTCTGAACCAGCAACGGACCCTGGATCCCACATTAGCGGTTGGCTTCGGGTGGGTGAGAAGAATAGAACCAGATACCTGGATGATCCAGCCGGCCAGTCCGGGATGACCCAGGTCTCGAATGATAAAGGCAATGACCGAGCCTGCCGCCACGACGACAAAAACCAAGGTCAAGTTGCTGGGCCGCCAATGTCAACAGAAACAGATCCCCAGTGAAATCCTGCCAGAGGGCATATTTACCCAAACATGGTGACGAGCACCACCAGCCATGATCGCCAACCGAGCGCGACATGCGTGTTGTCCAGGTGCGAGTCGACCCTGGCAATGGCGTCGTTGACCTCCTTGACATGCTCGACGGCCGTCTCGTGGTGTTCGCCCAACGGCTTGTCCGCAACCTGGACAGGAGCCACCTGCTCGTTCTGTCCGGGATTCACTGCGGAGCTCATGATGGCTGCTTTACAAGACACGAAACAACAGAGAGATCAATCAAAGTCAACATGCAATCAAGGGAGGTAACGCAACAACACACACTGTGTGGTGAAGCTGACACTTTCTCTCGGGTTCTGGGGGAAGATGAGAGAAGCCTTTCAACGCGAGGTGACAATGATGTCTGGGGATAATGTGACCAGGCTACCACGTGTCGGTTCCCGTGCCGAAGACGTTGTATCGGCAGTTGTTTTCTACCAGAGTGCCAACTTGATGATTCGGTGCCTTCACACAACTAAAGGTCGGGGAATCTCCGCATAAGGGGGTTTGTGCCCTCGTGGTCTACTCTCCGAGTGATATAGGCAAGAGAGACGGGGGTCGCGTCGCAAGAAAGGGAATGGATCTGAAGCCGCCCACAGGCAGGCTAGGGCTAGGCTAAGCTGCCTGGCTAAGCTGCCCACATAGCCTGGGGGAGGATACCCTCAGCCACTTGAGATCTAACACCCAATCATAACGCACCACTACACGATCCTTTCCTCTTTGAGCAACGCCAAGCTGAGCTAAGCAGCCGATCTAGCCGTTCCGAGCGTCTTCGGCATCTCTGTGATTGGCCCTTCCTCCACACACACAACTGCGGGGGAATCTTCCCCAGAGACCTTACACTTACTCTTAACTCCCCCTTGTCTCCCCGCCCTCTGGGGACAGGTCGGCAGTTGGGATTCTGTCGCAGGGGAGAGGGGGGATCACATCACAAGGCTCTAGGTTGACTTGTTGGTCCCTCGGGTAAGCATAAATACGTTTCCCCCAGTTGGGCTTGGAGAGAATGGGAGAGGGGAGGAAGGAAGCAGAATGAGAATGACCGGAACTTTGAAACCTTGTACATAAGCAACGCAAGCATTTTTTAAGCCAGGCCCTTGGCTCATCATCCGCCGCCATCCTCCCATCAGCACTTGGCCCGCCCGCCTCTTGAGCTTGACTCTTTTGCTTGGAAATTCCTTGGCCATATACTATTCCATCCACTCTTGCCCCGTCCGTTTACTTTGGGCCTTTTGGAACCCTGTGCAACAACAACGACATCTATTTTTTTTATTATTATTTATCAATTTGAACGCCGACGCAACACAACGCAGCACGACATGGCGCTTTCCACGCCGCTGACCCAGCACGCGGCCATCTCGCCCGTCTACCTCGCCGCAGCGGCTTTCCTCGGTCTCGTCCTCTACCTGTTCGTCCAGAGCAAGCGGGCCGGTCTCGACCATGTCCCCGGTCCCTGGCTGGCCAAGTACACCAACCTGTGGCGCGGGTACCAGGCGTGGCGGCTCAACCACCACAAGGAGGCCGTCAACAATTACCAGATCAACATGATCGGCCGGTACGGGGACGTGGTGAGGATCGGACCGAAGCATGTCCTCGTCTATGACCCTGAGGCGATTGATACGATTTACGGCTTCAGAGAACGTCTGGATAAGGTGAGTGAGCGGTTTGGGTGGTAGAGAGAGAGTGTGTGTGTGAAGGTTGAGAATGAATCGTGTTGGACGAGTGGAAATGCTAATCATCACCTCGTTTCATCAGGGTCCCGGATACCAAGTCTTTGTCATGACCGGTAGGTAGATCACCATGTCCATTCCACTGATGAATTGTATCTGGAAAGAGTGCACCAGCTCACAAAATCCCACAGGCACGGACCAGACCGCTCTGGTCAGCATCAAGGATGAAAAGACGCACGGAATGTACAGGCGACCCATTGCCCACGCGTATTCTCTGTCCTCTCTAAAGGGCTACGAGCCGTACATTGACGAGACGATCGAAAAGTTGATCAAGGAGCTCGATAAGCATGACGCCGATGGCACGCCGATCAACATGACTCGTTGGCTTCAATACTGTGAGTTTCAACCTCCGCTCAAGTAAGTGGTAGATGGTCTGACTGTCCTCACAAAGGGGCCTTTGATGTCATGTCCAAGATCTCGTTCGGTGAGCCACTCGGCTTCCTCGACCACGGCTACGACTTCAACGGCATGATCCAGGCACAGCGGGAGAACTTTCGATACATCAGCGTGGCCAACAACTTCCCGCTGCTCGACACACTGACCAAGCGCAACCCCTTCCTCAAGCTCGTCACGCAGAAGCCGAGCATGTTCTTCACCTTTGCACGACGCGTGGTCAGCGAGCGTCTGGCCAAGGCGTCCAAGGACCCCGAGGCGCAGTCGGCGTCGCGCCGCCACGAGGACCTCCTGGGGAGCTTCATCGCGGCGAGAAAGGCGTACCCACTCATGACGGACCTGCGCATCACCCATCTCACGGCCACCAATGTGCTCGCGGGGGCCAACAACAGCGCCCGCGCCATGGACGCCACCATCCACTGGCTGACGGAGCACCCGGAAGCGCAGGAGCGGCTGAACCAGGAGATCCGCAGCGTCAACATGGCGGCCATGAAGGAGGTCGACACCGAGGGCCCCGCGGCGCTCGAGCTGGCCCTCAAGATGCCCTACCTCGACGCCGTCATCCAGGAGTCGTACCGTCAGTTTGGCGCCCCGGCCAACAACCTCGAGCGCGTCGCCGGTCCCGCGGGCCTGACGTTGCCCAACGGCACCCATCTGCCACCCGGCACCGTCATCGCCATGAACGCCGCGTCCATGGCGATGCTGCCCCACGTCTTTGGCAAGGACGCCCGCGCCTTCAACCCGGAGCGCTGGATGCGGCAAGCCGGCGAGACCGAGGACGAGTTCCGCGAGCGCAAGGTCCGCATGCACCGCTCCATGCTGGTCTTTGGCCACGGCAGCCGCAGCTGCATCGGCAAGAACATTGTCCAGCTGGAGCTGTACAAGATCTGGGCCACGCTGTTGAGGATTTATAAGGTGAGAATAGCCTTTTTTTTGGTCCATATCCTTTCTCTCCTCCTTACCTCCTCTTTCCTGCGTTGGCTGTCGTCTGGTTGCACGGAATGGGTGGTTTAATACGTGGCTGATGGCCCGACTGACACGCTTCACACATGACAGTTTGAACCCGCCGACGTCAAACTCCACCAGGTCATGACGATCCCGCGACGACGAGAGCAGCGCACCGAGAAGTCGGTCGAGATTTGATCAACTATTCAGACAGACTTGTTTGTTCTTCTATCATCGCGTCAACTTTCAGTCAGTCGGTTGGAGAGTTGTCAAGGGATGTCAGGGATGTAGATGCGGATGGAGACGAAGAAGGAGAGGAATGGAGGAAAGGAAGAGAGAGAGAGAGAGTATGTGTTGTGTGTGTGTGTGTGTGTGTGTGTCTGTCGCCGTGAAAGCGAATCCTTCTTCAACATCAACATCACCAACCACCAACCACCAACCATCGTCACCGTCATCGTTATACTCATTGTTATGAATCCTCTTCCATCGCAGTGACCCCTCCTACTTAGGTAGTCAACACGGTAGTTTCGTCCAACATGTCAGAAAACCCCCAGAGTTGTGGCTTCGTCATAGACAGCAGTGGTTGGTTCATAGTTTCTTCCAAATAGATCAGAAATTGCCATCTTGTCAACTGATATTCTTGCCATTCACAGTCCAGGGGGAGTAGAAGAGGATTCGTCGAGTTCGATTGCTGTCATTGACTCGGACCCGCGTCCCGCATCCCGCGTCCCGGATGAAAGCACGGTGCTTAGACCCTACCTTGCACCATGGTGAGTAAAGATGCAAAGGTAAAACGTCATGGGATGTGGGACAGCCGAGATGGACAAGGATTTTACGACTCCTCAAGGCGTGCGAAAGACTCTTTTTAGCTTTTCTGCCACAGTGAGGGGTTTTGGATTAATCTATTCACCTCTCTATCTATGCGATGTACATGTACATGTACAATAAATAGAACGTTTTTTTTTGTGAAAGATCCAACCGCCCAAAGTTGTGTGTATGTGTGAAGAACTCTGACACCAAAATAATCGTAGAATCCCTCTATTCTGTTGGATTTCCCACCATGAGGCCGTAGAATAATAGAAAAGGAAACGAGAAGACAAGAGAGGAGAGTGTATAAAATGATAGGAGATGACATGAGATGATATGCCCAGCCCACCCACCAGCGCCGCCTTGATGTGTAGAAACCAAACTAAAGGAGGCTTTCTGTCCCCCTCCCCATCTTTTAAGCATTTTGTGCGTTGGAGTCCTTTCGCTCTGTCGCTTCTCCAGCCTCCTTGGACCCAGTCGGCTCGTTGTCACCGTCACCACTACTACCACCTCCTCCACTACGAGCAGTAGCAGAAGTAACAGCAGCGCGAACCTTCAAGCTGCGCCACTCGACCAGCACACTCCCCAAGATGGTCGCGACGCAGGTCGCCACGACGAGGTAAAAGACATGGACGAGGGCGTCGTTGTAATCGGCCAGGAGGACGGCCAGGTCGTTGCCGCCCGCGAGATTGCGCAGGTCCGTCGCGCCCGAGGTCGTGGTCACCGCGTGGGGATCGACGCCGGGCAGATCGGCCGTCAGTTTCGCGACGAGGCCGTTGAGGAATATGTTCTCGGCCACGGGCAGGAAGATGGCGGAGCCGAGGAAGCGCATGAACATGACGACGGCGGTGCCGGTGGCGATGTCCGGGCGGTCTAAGACGGTTTGCACGACGTTCAGACCCTGTTGAGCCCCGAAGCCCAAGCCTAGCCCCAGGATGACCTGGTACCCGATCCACGCCGGGTGGGCTGTCGTCGAGGTAAAGGTGCAGAGCAGGCCGGCGCCGATGGACGTGGCCACGGAGCTGAGGATGAAGAACGGCGTGTAGTAGCCGACGCGACTGATGATGATGCCCGACGAGATGGAGGCGGTGACCGACGACAGCACCAGCGGGAGCAGCATGATGCCCGACTTGACGGCGCTGACGCCCTTGATGGCCTGGAACCAGATGGGCAGATAGTAAATGGTGACCATGACGCCGGCGCCGTTGAAAAACGAGAACCACAGCGCAGCCGCCACGCTGCGCTGCTTGATGATCCGGGGAGGGACGGTGCCATCTTCTTGTTTCCAGACTTGGATTCCCCCAAAGACCAGGCAGAGAACGGCACAGAGAACCAGCAGGACAATGACCCGCGCGTTGTCCCACGAGTACTTGGTTCCTCCCCACTGGAGAGCCAGGATCAGACAGATGATGCCGGGGAAGAATACCAGGTTGCCCAAGGGGTCGAGCTGCTTCACCTTACCCAGGATCCCGGGGGCTCGTTCGTCGAGTTTTTGGTTGGAAAGGCGCAGGACGACCATGGTGACGACCACGACCACGGCGCCGATGGGGAGGTTGATGTAGAAACACCATCTCCAGGTGACGTTGTCGGTGAATGCCCCTCCGACCAGAGGCCCGATGACGGACGCAATTGCAAAGATACCCCCAAAAGCACCCTGCCAGATCGGCCGCTGCTGTAGAGGGACGGTGTGGAACAGGATGACCATGACGCCCGAGAACATTCCTGAAGCACCCAAGCCTGAAATGGCGCGGCCGACAATGAAGGCCACAGAGCTCGGCGCCGATCCACACACGGCTGAGCCGACTTCAAAGAGCACAATGCCCGACAGAAAGACGGGTTTCGCCGGGTAGAACTTGTAGACCTTGCCCATGAGGAGCTGGAAGCTGCACATGGTGAGCAGGTACGCGCTGCCATACCATCCAATGTCTGCGATGGAGTCGAACTCGTCGGTGATTCGTGGGATGGCTGTGGATATGATGTTTTGGTCCTAGAGGAGTTGGTCAGTAGAGGTGGGAGAGATTGTAAAGGCATTGGAAGTACCAAGGTAACCAGGAATATGGCAAGGTAGCCTGCGAGCATGATCAGGATCCTCTTCCGCATGCTGGGATATCCGTCGTCTGTCCCATCACTCTTCTTCTGCTGAGTGCCCGCCTCTGGGTCATGTTTGTTGTCGTCGTCGTGTGAAGAGGTGCGCGTCATGGTGGAAGCAATGCTGGGACTCGTGTGGCGCAGGAATAGAGATGTGAACTGAGGCAATCTGGAGAGTCCATGTCCGCAGACTGCAGACCTGACAGCCCGCTTCCTTAAGTACCTGGTTTTGGTAGTTGGTGGTAGCCTGCGTGTGGTTGAATTTGTGTCCCTTTTTGCGTTGTATTCACTTCGCTTCGCCTCTCGGGGCTCAAATGTTGATTTTTGACCCTCCGAGCGCCGAGATCAGCATCAGGTGAAATACCACGACCACCACGACCACCGCCACATCAACAAATCCTCCCATCTGTGGAATATAATCCCTCTCTCCGACCACCGAGTGTCTCCCCAGAAAAGCGAGGGAGAAATCAAGTGAAACTCAACCATGTCGCGCCCCCTGACCGAGGACCCCGCGACAGCGACGGACGCAAACGCAAACGCAAACGCAAACGCAAACGGAAACGCCAAAGGCTTCTCCTGCTTGGTCTGTCGCCAGCGTAAAATCAAGTGCGACCGCCAGTCTCCATGCGCCAACTGCGTCAAGGGAGACACACAATGTAGCTTCGTCCCGCCGACGCGCGGCAAACGGAAGAGGACGAAGCCCGCGCGGGAAGGACTGCACGCCAGACTGAGACGGTACGAAGAGATGCTCAAGGCGTATGGCGCGAAGATCGAACCGTCGCTGGACAGTGACGATGGCTCGGATATGGAGTCATGTGATAGATCAGATGTGGGTATGGTCCACAAAGACAGTGAGGCTCGTGTCGATGTCGACGTCGACGGCTCTGGTGCTCTCCGAGGGCTCGACTTGGCTAGAACAAAGCTGGTCACTAGGGAAGGCAACTCGAGATACTTTGACAGGTTTGAGATCCTGCCGTCCCTTTTCCCTACTGGACAGTGTCTAAGTCCTATCCTATCCACAGCGCCCTCTGGTCCAACTTGGGAGACAAGGTGAGAGTGATGGCAAAGACCAATGTTCGAGCAGCATCTAACACAATCCCCCTGGTAGTTTCATCACCCGGACGAATACGCCCCCGATTGCGTCTTGGACGAGGCCAGCGTGACCGAATGTGCCCTGTTTCTAGGTCCGCTCGACCAAGCAAGCCTTCCTCATCACCCCAACACCTCCAACACCTTCGACCTCGTCGATTACTTCCCCCCTGTCGAGGTCCTGCGCAAGCTGAAGGATATCTACGTGGACCGAATCGATCCGGTCATGAAGTTTCTGCACATCCCGACCTTCTGGGCCTCGTTGACCAATGCACTGCAACATCCACGCGAGACGCCCAACAGCCTGACGGCGGCGATGTTTGGCTTCTGCCTCGCTGCAGTCCGCGCGCTGGACGACGACGAATGCCAGAGTCTGCTGGGTGGACCGCGGCCGGTCATGCTGACGCGATATCGATCGATGGCTCGGCAGGCCTTGATCAATGCTGGACTCCTGCAAACTTCAAGTCTCATGACCTTGCGAGCATTTTCGTTGTTCTTGGTAAAGTTCACGTACTTTTCTGAAGTTTCTGTTCTGAATTGTCCTAATACATCCTGTGTAGGTTGGCGTAAGAATGTGCCTTCGACATGACACTCAGTTCATCTTATCAGGAGTGGCCGTGCGGCTGGCGCTCAAAATGGGTCTCCACCGCGACGGGGAATCGCTGGGCCTGTCGCTCTTCGAGACGGAAATGCGGCGTCGGCTCTGGTGGCACATTGTGCACATCGATTTCCGCGCCGCCGATATGTTGGGTATGAGACCGTCCCTCGATCTGACCATTGGAGACACCAAGATGCCTCTCAATGTCGAGGATGAAGACCTTAGTCCCGACATGATCGACCCACCACCCGAGCGGGATGGCATCACCTCGATTGCCATGTGCCTCGTCCGGTGTGATATCATGAACTCCCTGCGCAGCCTCGCCTCCCCACTGTCGAATGGTGTCCACTGGGACATCCTCACGAGTCCGGACACCACCACGGCCAAGAAGGACGCCGTCATAAACCAGATGCAGGATCTTTGGGAGAGAAAGTATCTCCGATACTGCGACCCGTCGAACCCCTTGCATACCTTTACGTCCGTCATGATCCGGTCTGGAATATGTAAGATGAGGCTCCTCGCCCACAGTCCACGACGACGGTTCGCTGGACGACGGGTCAAAATCCCACAGGCGGAGCGAGACATTGTCTTTGCCAACGCCGCAAAACTGCTGGAATACGCCGTCTTGGTGTATGGCAACCAGGCCCTGCAAAAGTACGCGTGGCGCATCAGCACGAGCTATCTCTGGGACACGATGCTCTGCGTCCTCATCGAGGCGCGACACCGCAAGCCAGGACCCGAGCTCGATCGCCTGTGGCAGCTGATTGGCGTGGTGATTTCGCAGAAATCCGAGGCCTTCAAGGAATCCACGGGCCCAGTGTACCTGGCACTGAGTAAATGGACCCTGGAGGTCTGGGACGACCATGTCGCCACCGCGAGATCAGAGGGTCTCCCGGAGCCAGTGACGCCCGAGTACATTACGGCGATGCGCCAAAGTTTCCGGTCGTCCAGACAGAGTTTTGGTCGGCGGCCGACTGATCAGGACTTTGCCAGCGTGGGAAATTTTCAGGCTGGGAACCAGGGTGGTGGTTATCTGCTCGAGTCTGATACCTTTGACTATAACTTCCCCGATCTCGTTTCATTTGAGATGGACCCAAACGAGTGGACGCAATGGGAGCAGCTGCTTTCGGGACATTTTGGCTTCGGTCAGATGGAGGACTTATAACAGTCCTGCAAAGTCGCCTGGATTGAGAGGGGGTTTCCATGCAAGAAATTGACGCAGCTTCCTTGCCAGGATCCATGTCTGACTGACACAGTCAAAGAAGAATTCAAGTCAATGTGGCCTTCTCCCCCTTGAAGCTAATTGGGCCTGTCTTCACACCAGGAAGATATCCTCCACCTCTCGTCTCATTGGAGGCCACGGAGCTGCAGCGTCCCATTCAAAGACGCCGAGCCAGTGCCAAATCCTGTGAGCCTTGTCATTCGAGCCAACTACCCCAAAGACGGTGCCATGTCGGGGCCCTCGATAGACATAGTAGCCGCTAGACGCGACCACCTTTGCAGCGAGCACGAACCTCGCGTGACGGTATTTGTGCAGCTTAAATTCCTCCCGGGCTCGACGTGACGGACAATCAACTCCCCTGCGGTCGCCACGCGCGAAAGTGTCCTTGAAGGCCTTGACACTCGCGGGGAACCCGCTTGGCGAGGGACCGGATACTTCAAAAGTCGTAAACTTTGCATCGAGACCTTTGTCTGTGATGAGCGCGACGGATGTTCCCGCGCCGTCGTATACCAGATGCAATGGTGATGATAGTAAGGATGTTGCATTCGATGAGGTGGTGGTGGCCAGTCGAGAGACCTCTGGCTGGGCCGGAGCCCAACCGAAACCCTTGCACTGTAGTCTGGGAAGGGAAGAGAACAGGACGCCCGTGTGAATGATGCTGTTGATTTTGGATTTCCAAAACATCTCGGCAGTGTATGCGGGCGTGGTATCGTGCAACAAGCTCATGATGACAGTACTGTCGCCTGGGCGCGAGGCGTGGCGGTACGCCAGCAGGCAGATAGACTCTTCCACCGAGATGTACCCGTCTCGCCGCCGGGCAATATCTCCTCGGGGGTTTTTGTCAAACGGCGAAGGTGGCTGGGCCGGGAGGAGCTGCTGATGGGTGAGGAAGAGGTTGGCGATGGCCATTGACCCCTGTTCGTGGACCTTTGTCAGGCATTCCTTGACCGAGATGATTCTGTTGTATTTGCACAGGAGATGGACGGTGTGACGGGCCCTCATCGACTCGAGCAGCGTCCAAGACCGGACATTCCAATCGCAGACCAGAAGCGTCGAGAGTAGGATCTCCCATGTCTCGATCGAGCCGTCGCTGATATCAATGGACATGATGTCGCGATCCCAGATCAGTGTCATTCGGCTGATGGTGAAGATCTTGTTGATGTTAGCTATAGCCTCCGCACGAAGATCATGATTCTCGGGAATACAAGGCGTGTCCATCCAGTAAGAGTCGCATTCATTTTCGTGGGCCAGCTGGATGAGTCGTGCGTGTAGACAAGCATTCATACCCGTATGAGGTCTCCCTCCCGCACCGTGAGCCCATACGTGTGAGACACTGAGTGTCTTGGAAGACGCTTGACAGTATCGAATGGTGACATTGTCAGAGTCCTTGACTGATACGGCTCTGGCGCCCTCGACGCTGCGATAACTGAATTCGTCCCAGAACATCTTGTCACAACCACCGCTGCACCGGTAATCGTGGGCCGATTGGTCGACTATTGTCATGCCTGTAAACCGTTGGCAATGTTCTGGTCCTTGTCCATTACAGGCCTGTGAAGACGAAAGAACGCATCTTGCTGGCTTGTCGTTGAACATGGCACCAAATCGGCGTCGAAAGTCGCGAAAATCTTGCCCGATGGACGCTCTATCTGACCTCAGCAGCGCAAAGGCCCACTTGCACATATACTGTGGCAGTGCCTCGAGGGAATTCGGAGTCTCCCCGTCATGGCCTGGCAGTGGTTGACGCATGTTCAGCGACTCATTCCGTTCGGCATCGTACCCGGCTCGTAGTTGCATGCCCAGATGATAGTGGAAGTGAAGCATCAGGCTGCGGCACCAGCACGTCCACAGAAAGCTTTTGGCCACCAGCCAGTGCTTGTGATCGGCGGTATCTTTTGTTTTGGCGGACAGGTCGAACGCTGTTGCCGTCAACTCTGCCAGAGTGTCAACGAAGGTCTGCGTCGTGTCTATCATCTCATCGTGAATCTGGACGATGGTCAGCGCCAGACGGATGGAGCTGGTATCGACCCAGTTGGTTACGAGCAACTCGTGCCAGCTGTCCTGGTCAAGCCTCACGCAGCCGGAGTGATGGGCTCTGAAATAGAGCCAAGGCAAAGCAGCCCCATTGAACTGCGCCGATATTGAGGCTGGAAGCTCTGGCGTCCGAGGCAGACGCGATAACAGAGCGCATGTCTGGGTAATGATGGCATCGTCGCTAAGGACTCCTTCAAAGTTGCAGCGAAGAAGCGCGCCCACTGCCTTGTCTAGAAGATGGATATGGTGTTCTGGATCTTGTGCGGCATAGTAGTAGGCCTGAGACCAATCGCGAGCTCGGCGGCTTGCTTGCTCGCTCGTAAAGGATATCAGCAGGTCCTTGTCGGAGTGATAACTGGTGTCACGAGGGAGGAATGTAGGCGGAATGCCCTTTGGGTTGCCTGATTTCCACTTGAGGCCGTCCAGGTATATTGACCTCACTCGGTCCCGGGACACAGTGCAAAGGTCATCTTGAGACATTTCACACCTTGGCTGAAAGGATAGTTAGTAAAGGCTGATAGATGGGGATGGGAACAGACATGAGGATATGGTGTCAATTCCTGTTGAGTAGGGCGCAGGTGCGGACAGTTGCCTGGACACGCAAGACAAGGCACCTCAGACGTTGCACCAAGTACAAAACTCCATCTAGTAAAATGCGGCCGAGGCACCGACTGGGAATAAATGATATTTGGCGATGTTCACGGACACGGCCCTCATAGACATCAAATCGACAGGCGTTATTGGCTCATCGCCGTTAGATGTCGTCGTAACGTATGCCAGAAGAAGAGTGATCGTGTTGTCTTTGTCGCTGGAAACCACCTGAGCCCAAGGTAGAGCAAGCAGGAATCCATCTCTGGCGGGTGGTAGATATATCGGGGTTGTACTTTGCATAGAGAAGGCGGTACGGTGAGAGACACAGAAGTAAAGCGGATAGCCAGCAGGCGACCGTTGGAAACATTCGATGACGATGCCATTTACAAAGTGAGGCGACGCAGAAGACAACGCATGCACAGAAAAGAGGCAACGAGAAAACAAGGACATTTGAATCCTGACAATATTGATAACAATGTACAGTCGATCGACCCAACACTCGGTCTCAGTTTCAACCTGGTTCAATATTGAGTGCATGGATCGGCGTGAAGGCGACATGCTTTTTCCTCCGTCTCCATCTCTACCAAGGAATATCGAGAGAAGCAACATGCAACATGACTGTATATGTTCAAGGCACAGTCCCTTCTCCTCAAACCCGCTCCGATCAGTCCTCATCGTCATCTCCACCCAGGCCGGCATTCTTCCTCATCATAGCAACATCGTCCTCCAGATCTTGAATCTTTCTCGCCAGCTTCTTCTTCAAGATGGCATTCGTTGTCTTCTTGAGCAGCTCTCTCTGCTCCGCAATCTTGTTCTGCATATCCTCAATCCTCTCCATGACTTGACGTTTATTCTCATCACCCTCTTTCTCGGCATCGTCTCGGTCTTCATCGTCATCTCCCGCATCCTCGTCCTCGTCTTCGTCAGAAGAAGCTTCTGCAGCTTCTGCAGAGATGGGGGTGTGCGCGGCCGTCATAGAGGGGGAGGCTGACGTACTAGTCACTGCGAATGATGAGTCGATGCCCGCTTCAGGCGGGTGCAAGGTATTTCGAGCTTGTCCGGCCGTGTCGGTAGAAGGTGCGGCATCCTCGTCAAAGAACATGCGCTCGAGGGCGTCGAGATCATCTTGTCCAACTTCCTCCTGCACAGGAGTTTCGGTGAGCATTGGTGTTTCGACCATGGAACCATGCACACCGGGTGCTATGTCGAAATAATCCTCTGGCTCGGCCTCGGCATCTTCGTCTTCTTCCAGTTCAGTGCTGTATCCTTGTTCATCGAGGCGCGGATCATGGTCCAGAAGTTGATACTTGGAGCTAAGAGCCGCCTTGTCTGCCTCGAGGAGAGCGTGGACTCGCCGCTCAACCGCCTCAATGTCATCCACTCGTGCTCGTTTTGTTCTCGCAAATCTTCTCTTTCGGACCCATTTCATGGGCGCAGTGAGGCCATGGGCGTACTGATAAGTCTTGGGGTCAACGTCTTCGGGAAGAGGATAGTTCCGGGCTTCCTCTTCGTTGTTGCAGCGGCCAAGCACCAAAAGCATCTGGCAGATGTCGATGCTCTTGATCCACCCTTTCTTATCCCATGATTTCATTCCTTCGATAATGCATGGGAGATCAACCAGGGTGGTGGCGTACTTGTGGTCCTTGATCTGGAGGATACCTCTTCTACCCAGCGTATCGAGCATTCTGAGATTGACGTGTGCACCTCTTGCCAGTACCTGACCCGCCGTCCCATCCTCGATCGCTTTGCGCAAGTAATCACAATCCTCGCCAGGTTGCATTCGTAGAACAAAGCCTTCGTGGATGACTGGATCGACCTCACGACCAACCAATGTCTCGCCCTTATCATTCTGATATTCCGTCTCGAGTTCGGAATCATAGCCCACTCCCAATGATCGTTTGGGGATCTTGCCCTTGATTTTGAAGGCCAGGTGCGCTGTCCCCGAGGGTTTGGGTGCAGATGCAGGAGTAGCTTGGGATTTCTTGAACGTGAGTTTTCGAAACGCGGCGGGCTTGGGAGGCGCTGGTGCTGGTCGATTTCCTTCATCATCGTCTTCCCCAGGCCGTGCTTCGCGTTTGCGTTTCTTGGAGGACGAACCCGGGGTTTCGGCGGCAGTATCTGTGTTCTTTTTCTTTTTCTTTAGCTTTGCGGACTCTTCAGGACCAGTTCGAGGCGTGCTCGTGCCTGGGAGTTTGAGCTTGATGGACGGCGTCCTGACTGCGCTCTGGGGCGTTGGGGTCTGCACCGCCGCAGGCTGCCCTGCTCCAGCTTGAGGGATGGCAGGTTTGCTGGGAAACTTGAGTTTCAGGGACGGGCGCTTTGCCTTGTCAGGGGGAGGGAGAGCCGCGTCCGACATCTCGAATTCGTCCTCGTCGTCGGTTTCGTCGCCGCTAAAGTTGCCAGTTATAGAGCCTCCGTCGCAAGAGGGAGAGGGAGGATCATTCTCTGCGTCGGAATTACGGGGCCAAGGAGAATCGTCGATGAAGTGCTGGACTTCAGGCTCAAGTCTGACGGTGACACTCTTGGGTCTGCCCTTTGCGGCGGATGATTTTGGATTGCTCTTTCTGATACCGGAAGATGGATCAGGTTTCAGGATAGATTTGGCTTGACGTGGTTGCCGGTGGGCTGGACTGTGCAGCCGGCTTCGGGGTTCGTCTGCGGAGCACTTCGGTGTCAGGGCGGTTTTGCTCTTGCCATGCTTTGGCGCCTGTTTGGCGATGCTGGGGGGCGCGTCATTGGGCGGGTCCGCCTCGTCAGGCGCCTGTGGTGGTGAAAGGGGCGTGGCGAACAGGTCATCAGCCGCCGCTACGACCACAGAAGAAGCCCCCTGCATGCCTGGGGAGCCTGGGCCCTGTAGCGATGCAGCATCATTGGCGGCAGCCCCAGAATGTGGCATGCCATTATTTGAAGCTAGCGAATTCTCTTCCACACCTCCAACTGCCTCTTCCTTCCTGATAAACGGGTTGTTGTATTGAACAGTATCCCTCAGCGTGGCCGGCCACCGAAGCAGCAACTCAGGCCGGAGCCCAAGTCGCACGTAGGAGGCTGACGGTGAATCAGGCAGTCGGTAGTGTTCCAGCTTTTTGCGCTTCACCCATCGCACCAGCGGGTTGGGAACTGGATTTGGATAGGCACGAAGGGCTGGATCCGCGATTGGCGGTAGATTGGCCTTCTCTCGAGATGACCTGACCATCCTGGTTGTCTGTCTCGTGAAGTTTGGTCGAGCCTCAAAATTTGTTTTCTCTGTTCTATGTTTTGCGCAGAACCAGAACCGCGTCCAGAAAGGCAGTCACAATGACTTCAGCCGACCTTCACACCGCGCTTTTGCGCCCGGCAGTTCTTCAAATTCTTCGTGCCGCTGGCTTCAGCGCCGCGCGACCCGTGGTGATCGATACTGTCACCGATCTCGCAGCTCGCTATCTTCTCTTGTTGGCGTCTTCGACCGCTCAAAACGCGTTCAATACCCACAACACTTTCGTGCCGACTATCCAGGATGTGAGGCTCGCGCTGACCCAGGCTGGAGCGTTGGTGCCGCAGATGAACACCGTGGAGGAGAGCGTGAGGGGCGACGTGGAGATTATGGAAGGGGTGTGGGTTCCATTTGAGGATTTACGAGGAGTCGAGGCGTTCGTGAACTGGGCGCATGGGCCGGTCAATAAGGAGATCAGGAGGATCGCAGGCTTTGGGGACGATGTAAACGTGGAGGAGATTGCGGCAGGATTGGACGAGCAGGAAGATTATGTTTCTGGTAAGTTCATCTCCTTGCTGTGGTTTTCGAGTGACGGAGAGTTTGCTTGCGACAAAATCCCACAGTCAGGTGGTAGTGACAGAAATGTGAAACTGACCTTGTCGTTCGACCTGAACAGCGTTGAAGAAGCGCCACAGCAAGACCGGCGAAGCAGTCCGCTACCAAGGCACCGTTCTCGGCAAGGACACAGAACTACAAGCGGTAACAATCGTGGGCGGACCTGCTGCTTCGATTGCAGAATGGACACAAAAGTCCTTCGCCGCCACTCGAGCTTCCTCCAACCTGCGCCCTGGCCAGGACGAGGGTGCTGCCACCCCAGCGACATCCGGTATCAGCAGTGCACCGCTCACTCCGATTGATTCTGAATGAATGGGAGATGGACAATGGCATTGCCACCCCCATGAAAACGAATCTTTCAGGTGCGGTAAGACAGACTGTCGGAATCTGCTGGCTGGAGCGTCCGCACCGCAAACGGGTGACAGGGCTGAGGGTCGATATTCACTTCACTATCGAGCGTATCGGCAAACGACACGACCGAGAACGATACTTCTCCCCAGAGCAAAGTCTCAATTTAGAATCACAGCATCGAAGTCACCAACTGTCGATATTGCAGCCATTGCGCCCAGGCAGCAAATTCCTTAATGTCAACAAAGCCGTCGACATACGCTGACTCCTGCACCAATCCCCGCGCAGAATCGAAGATCTGCTGCCCACGGAGACAGTAGATTAAACGACCCCAAGCATACTGCGCAGCAAAGGCCAGGGAAGATGCCCAGTCCGAGACGTTGTTACGAGGTACATGAAGAAATTACCTCGTTGGACGGGGAGGAAGATCAGACAAGACCGGTGCCATCACATCGCATGCAGACAGCATAAGTCTTGAAATCAGCCTCGAACAAAGACCCTATTCCCAACAATGAGGATTATGAACTTGACACAAAGCATCCGATTAATGATCAATGATATTACAACTATTACTTCTCCCGCACGCGTCTGCTCCTTCAGAAAAAAGACTTTGACACCGTCCCTACTCCAGCCCACCGATGACAGAACCCGTAGATACGCTCCCACCTGTCCCCCACCCCCTTGATTCCTGGGGGATGGTGTGTGAACGGAGGGGTGGTACTATCGTATACCCCGCTTCATATCCTCGTATGGCTATCCCTCTCGCGCGGAAATCATAAACTCACGCCTCCTCCATCTTCGCCCAGGTCGCCATCCTCTTTGGACGGACGACGACATGGTGTCTCGCCAACGGCAACGGCAACGCAGACGACGATGAAGGAGGACTCACGCCCGCGGCTGCGGCATTGTCGGCAGACTCAGAGGCTGACTGCACGGGACCGAAATGCGTCACAAACGTCGTCAGGACACTTCCATCGCTCTGGGTGCTCATTGCAAACCAGTCTCCCGTGGTGGGGGTTGCCGTGCCGTTGGTTTCCTGGTCGGTCGATGATGAGAATGATGGGGCAGCTATAGGCATCAGACCTGAGGGAGGGCCAGCGGAGTTGAGTGTAGAGTTGCCGCTGTCCACGGTAGGCGACGTCGCTATTGAGGGAGTCGGTGATGTCTCGCTGGTGGTAGCATTAGACGTGGTGCCTAGTTCAGTCTGCTCAGGCGCATTCGTCGTGCTAGAAGCGTCACTGCCTGTCGGAGCCAAGGGCGTGGTCCAGTTCCAGTCCCTCCACAGATACGATGGGGTCAAGGAACACGGTTGACCGCCGCTGCTTGTGGTATTGCTCCAGAACGGTGACGAGGTTATACTCGCTGGTGGAAAACCCGAGGCGCCGCCACTCACTGTTGATGACGTTGTGGTAGCGTTGAATATTCCCGTTGAGGTAGAGTTGTCAGCTGGCGTCCCTGTGCTGGAAGCTGTTCCATTAAGAGTTGGCGAGGAAACAGGCAGGGCAGAAGAGTTTGATGTCCAGGCTGTGGCACCGGCCGACCATGTTGTGGACGAGGATATCGCTGTTATCGGGAGAGTCTCAGAAGCGGCTTGGGATTGCGAACCTGTCGGTGCTGCTGAGTTTGATATGGCCGAGATCAACGACGAGTTGTTGGGTGAAGGAGAAGATGATGTCGTTGGAGTCAATGGTTGACCCGTCGAAACAATGCTGGTCATGTTGCTCCCTATCACGATTGTCATGGTGATCGGTGCAGACTCTGCTGGCCATGTTGAATCACTGACAGAGCCTGTGCTGTTCGCAGATCCTATGGCTTGTCCCGAGCTCGTAACAGATGAGGTATGATTGCGCTTCCCCCGAACAGTGGCTGTTAGAGTGATTTCCTCTGGTGGTGGAGTGATCGGGGAGGGCGTAATCGGCTGTGGAGTGGCTTCTATCGTAAGAGTGATCACAGTGCCTTCGCCAATAGGCGATGCATCCGTCTCAATCGGAGGCGAGGTATATCCCAAAGCTGACAACGAAGTATTTGTCCACAGAGGACCATCAGTGGGTGTCCCAGTGGGCCATACTGAGTTCGAGCCGTTGTAGGGACTGCAACTTGAGCCTGATAGATAGGTACAGGAAAGATTAAAGGGAGGCAAGGCCCAGATCGTAGTAGTCGATCGCAGCGTCGTAGTGGTTGTCGATGAGATATTGGAGCTGCCTGTCGTCGTTGTCCCATTTGCTATAGGGGTGCTGGATGATGGAGCGGGAAGGGTATTTTCACCCGAAGCGAGTGTTATATTACTGGCCGAGGAGTCGGTCGGTGTAGGCACGGTGTTTCCTGTCGTGAAAGTCCCGTTTCCCAATGATGTGCTTGTTGAAGAGCTTGGAAGGCCGCTGGTAGCTGAAATCGCCGTCTCGTTCGAGGAGGGTAAGGACATGGAGAGGGTGCTCAGCTCGGGGCTGATTGTGAAGCTCTGAGAGCTGTTGTCACTGCCAGCAGGAGCACTCGGAGCTATCCCTGGTCCAGAAGAAGGACATATGATGCCACCAGATTCACCGCCACAAGGTCGTTGAGATGCATAGCCTCCTGTGGGCTGAGGTTGAGGCTGTCCTGTTCCAGAGTATTGAGTTCCCCAAGAGGACCAAGTGTTGGTGTCGTTCCCATAAAACCATGGTCCAGTTTCGTTGCTACAACGGCGAACGTGTGGATTATGCACAACTTGATCTCTGTTAGCACTCAGTGTAGAGCCAGGGAGATGTCATGAGAAGCAAACCGGGACGCTGCTCTGCAGATGTCAGCACAAGCCCTGCAAGGCTGATAAAAAGAGTGACTAGAACGCTCCTCATTGTGTACAATATCCTCAAAAATCCAGGCCTCAGGCTGTCTCTAAAAGGAGTCGAGGGTGGTTTAGACAGACAACTTTATATTGCTTGTAGGGCCAAGCTCTTTCAGAATTCTTTGACACGCTGTATGGGACTCCATCGCCGCACTGAGTTCCCGTCCTATCCGCCTCTGCGCATTTCATAACATGATGCTGGGAGATGGCGAAGGTTATCCCTAATCTCGCGTGGAAGTTCTTGTCCGCATGTGGAGCAAATGCATTCCAAAAAGTCCTTTCTTTCTTTCTGTCATATTCATTATAGCGACATGCTTCGCGCTCGAGTTCCGATGCCCCAATACGGAAACAAGAAACTCACATTTTAAGGGGGCCGAACGGTAGCGGGAGCGGCTGCATTATACCGCAGGGAGCTGTTGATGATATCAGTTGAAATCCCGTCGATAGCGTAGTTGGAGATTGAAATTGGACCATCGCAGTAGGCAGCGTTGCAGTTTTGCCCCTCAGTGACATTGAACTGAGCGTCGAAGAACGGAATTGGAGGTATAACCACATCACATGTGGAGATCGTTGTTTTTGATATCGGAGAAGTGCATGGGTATGCTGGAGGCGGATAACCTGCAGCGGCTCCTGGCATCACCAAGATGTTGTGCACTTTCCTCCCTTAGCTGCAGCGGAATGAAAGAGGCGAAGGGAACAGTGAACGTCCGGAGCATTTTGTCTGCCTCAAATGCTGGCTTGGAGGATCAACGAGGGATGAAGGATGCTTGACTGGGAAGATACAACCCAGTAACAATAGTAAGCAAGCAGCTATGCATACCACAGAGACAGCCAGCTTCGAACGGGCTTGACGGAAACCATCTTTCCAGATCCAAGTTCGTGCCACCAGCAGTGAAGGCTGTCACTGCAGGGACGCGGCCTATGCGGCCACCCACCTGCGAGATTGACACATCATGAGTCCGGCGGTACGACGTTCCGTCTTCCATAATGTATTGCAGTACACATGATAAATCGTGACGGGCTGGCGAGTGATTAAATTGAACAACGGCTCAGATGCTGAAAGACGATGCTGGAAGATTGGCGCTCCGAAAGGGAATGAGTTCTCTAAATTTCAAACATCTCAGCGGCGGGTGCCCCTGCAATGGCATCAATATGCGAGAGAGAGAGAGGGTCAAGTGCTCAACTGTCCCCCTCAGCTCTCATGGTCACAGGCTGGAGACATTGCAACCACGCTTCCAGGCACGGAAGCTTGTGATGGAAGTATCGACAAGGTGTGAGACTGCCACAAGATATCATGCAGAGCACTCTCTATCGCGTCAACGATGAGATTTCCCAATTGTCTTGTCGAAGTGTGAGTATGATCCGTCGTGGGTTGCTTCGCACGCTCATAACAATGCAGTGCAAATGCATAACGTTTATTCTGAAGGAACCATTGCGAAAGCGCCATTGTCGACGGATATTGATGCTGCAGGTTAGGACGGGACGAAGGCTTGTCGGTAAATTTGTTTGAGTAGACTCCAGCCATGACTTGGATCCTCAGCATCGCATTGTTGGCTTGAGCCTCCAGCATTGAATCTAGCTGAGGGTCCTGGTCTCGCTGACGGCAATTCTGTAGGCGTACAAGGCACAGTTCCAGCCCTGCAAGACTAGCAAGAGCCGAGTCATAACCGTATTGTTGCTTCCACCGCTCGTGAATATCAGTAAGCAACTTCTCGCCATCTTCGCCTCGACCCGTGCGCGAATAGAACTGGGAACGGCCCATCTGGTGGGCTAATGTCTGATATGCATCATGTCCAAATGTTTTCGCCAGTGCATCGATAATGCATCTGAACACAAGTTCAGTAGCGTGATTCGTCAACGAAACATTGAATTCAGACTTGAGCAGGATTGTCAATGGGTGCTTCGTGCCTAAGATTGTAGATGCGAGGTCAGCCACATGCAACCTGATCCGAGTATGGAGAACCGAGGCATGGCCCATGTTGATCCCGTACGCAAGTTCAACTAGAGTGAACAGCAGTTCGGGGTGAGGATTTCGAAATATCCGTGGAATAGCATCCAACGTATGCCTGAGAACCGCAAACGCAGCGTCTGTTTTTCGTACCTCCAACAGGTCGGTGACAATGTAGAAAGCCTCTCTGAAGATTTCAATTTCTTCATTGGTGTCGAAGACTGTCGAATCACACTGGACCAGCGAGGACCATGACGAGGTGTATTGCCCCATCATCCAATTGAAAGATTCGCTTAAAACGTGCTCGATCTTCAGATCGTCACTCGGAGGCTTGAGAGCCCTGATCGATCCTCCTGCTCTCCACCGAGACATCAACGCGATTTTAGGATCCCGCACGCGCACATTTTGCCGTGCTGGTCGCATTCGCAATACCTTCCCTGCCTTATCTTCCTCTTCGTCTTGTTGTGGCTTCCTTTGAGGACGAATGGTCAGTGCCTTTCGGGCCGATGAGAGATTCGGACGGAGGATAACATCGGCCGAACGCTTTCGGTGATGGATGCCTGCGGCAGCATGGCACTTGATTCTGTTCTGGTTGTACCCAGAGGTATCTTGGACATCGATGAAAATGAAATTTGTCATAATCAAATGTCACCCAACAAGAATCATCTCAGAATATCGCATTCAGGCTGGAAAACAGCGTTTGTATTTTCAGGTGCGTTGAAGCGCGCACATCACTAATGATTAATTCTGTCAAGATAGCAGTGAGCCGCGAGGAGATGGGGTAGGATGTACTGAGAGAGCGAAGAAGTGAAGTGAAGTGGACGAGGTCACAACTCGATGGAAGTACCCGCTCCCTTGGCTCTCGTAATAGTGCCCGCCCACGACGGATCTGAATACAATGCCGAATACGAACTCAAGAGAGAGGTGGGCCAAAGCCACCATGGCGGTATTGTATATGAAACCTGTGCATCTTGAAAAGGCGTCAGTGGGCGTCGTGGATCAGGAATATGGAGAAAAATGTTGACCAAAGACACTTCGGCCGTATAGGTGGATGGTCCAAAACAAACAAGTATCACAAAAAAAGAAAAAAAAAAAAAAAAATACGGCGTACTGGAGCACAGACCGTAAAGAACAAACAGACAGACATATTGTTTTGGAAAAGGTATGAGAATGGATTCCAACCTGATGGCTAACGCATACAAAGCTCGTCTCCCTTTCCTGCTCAATATTCAAGCGACCAGTACCCTCTTCATCCTCGCAAACTCCTCGGCGCCACCCGCCAGCTGCCACGTTCGTGAATAGCATTCAATCTTCGACCAATTCCGCCGCCTCATACTAAAGCTCAGGTAAGTGGGATTGGCAAGGGGCCAGCCAGCGTTGCCTTGGTCAAGTCATTGATATTGGTCGCGGTGTTTTGGTTCGTAAGTGCCGCGAACGCAAGCCCAAACATTCCTGGCTGCACATCTGCGTGCAGTTCATCACCCTGCTGGGTGACGGCAGTGTATGCAGGGACGTTGTTTTGGTTGACCCAAGCCATGTACAGTGGTCCCGAGTTCCACCCTTGAGGGAGCATGGTTGGTTGGCCGACCTTGAAGATCAATTTTCCGGGGGCACTAGGGTTTGCAAATGACGGGCCACCATAGCCGACAATTCCCAAATCAGGGAAGACGGGGAGAGAAGTGATGGACGAAGGCAAGTTGTGGCATGAGTTTCCGACGATGAAGTCGAGGGCCAAGTTGTAGGCCCAAATGGCACTGATCGGCGTCTCGAAGGTGGTGGGATTCGGGATCTCGTTTGCGGTCATGCGGAAAAAGGCGTCGTGACGGGACTCCACAGGAAGAATCGAGGCGACAGTGGCCTCCAAGCCAGGATCAGTCGTGGAAAGACCATCTGCAAGGGCAATCAGAGCGCCAATGCCAACTGTGGTGATGATGTTCCCCAAAGCCAGGAAGCTGGTCTCATCCGTGGTGGGGAAGTTGTACTCGCATGGAGCGACGTCCTGAGCACCATTTGCTTGCAGCAACCCCACGATGGACGCAACGTGAACCTCCTCTTGAGCAGCAATGTGTGATACCACGACCATGTTGCTCACACCGTTCGTCTGTCCTCCGGTTCCCCATTGTGTAAAGTTCATTAGTCCCTCCTGAAAGAAAGCCGACTCCAGATTCTCCAGGAAGTTAGCGAGCTGGAAAGCAGACAACCCAGATTGGGAGACATGCGGGCTGCCAGGTTGATTCGGGAGGCCACCACCTGCTTGTTGAGCGATATTACCAGGTAAATTGGTGCCAGTGACCATTGGCGCTGGTGCTGCAAGAACAGAATTTGCGAAGAAAGAAAGAGCGACAGGAATGAAAAGGGACGACATGGCTGCCATTGTGCAGGAAAGAAAAATTACTCAAAACCCGCAGGGAAGAATTGAAGATGCAGCGCAGAGGGTGAGAAAGTGAGGGATCAGGAGGGATCAGCCATGTGTTATACGGCCACCGTCGTGAGCGGAGGGAGGCTGTTCGTGAGGCAATCTGCTGGGCCGTAAGCACTACCAAAAGCGGGCAACATTGACCCCGGCTGAGGATCATCCTCAGCCACATGGACTGATAACCTTTCGCTAACTCTAAAGGCCTTCATCGCAAACTGGTATAGGCAAACGCGCAACATGGCTCATCTCTTTCCTCCAGGATCATCAGTTGTGTCCTTCAATCCTTCGTGTCTCTTCCAGTCCTTGGGGGTGGAACGAGGCCAATCCATATAGAGCCATGGCAGGAAGACGATGACCAAGAAGGGAAATTCAGGTACGATCAAGCGCCGCAGGGGCCGTTGGAAGAGTTTAATTCAGCTCGGGGGCTGCAGGCGTGTAAGCGATTGACGGAGAGGCTTTCTCTCAGACAAGCTTCGGTAAGCACTTGCATAGGAAAGCTTCAGCTTAAGAGCCCGAAGAGAAAGGGTCCAGTGTCAGTCAGCAACTCCAATTTTAGAGCAGCCAACATGTGAAGGGCGAAAGGGGGGCGAAAATCTAGCGGCTCCAGGTATAACGAGGGAGTTAGGATGGAAATTTGACTAGATCCAACCGGCGAATTGTTGCGCAGGAGATGTGACTGACGCCACGCTGTAGCAAAGTGTGCAAACATGCTAAGCTCGATGACTAAGTGAGATTTGTCCGCCCAATCAGGTCACCGGAGTGTAATCGGCTTGTCTGACAGAATAATCTCGTAGCATTCCTCGGATTTCCGTGATTTCCCAACCACTGTCCGTCGTCAGACGTATTTCCCTATTTTGCTCTATGACGCGCTCAATTTTTGGAGCTTTGCGGACGCGAAGAGGAGAAATTCTAGACCTTGTCACAGTGGTCTCGTACGTTAGCACCACCCTCTCTGGTATAACCCGGTACGATGAGCACATTCAGCATATGCTCTCAATGCCTTCGAGCGTTGAGACAGAGTGTCAGAGCAGAATCAAATGTCCGCTGCACTCCTTCATTGAGTTCCTGCTCCAACAATAAAGTGAACCAGTCCTTTTCCCCTACTTCACGAGTTCAGAGCTCCTCTCCTCCCCCGCGACGTTATCTGTCGTCCACTTCCTCGAGATGGCGGCAAGAGACTGCTCGAAGCGGAACTGAGGCCTCAATGCATCAATCGCTGCCACCCACCACAGCCCCTACCGTCACGTCCAATGTGACGGCATCGTTCCCTAGCAACGAACCCCAATCCAAATCCGAGTCGGAACCACCACCAGAACCAAAAGACAAATCATCTGCACAACCCACCCTCCCCGGCGCCGGTGTAAGCGTGTCACAGATGCAGCGCCAAATCCAATCGCACCTCAGCAACCCTCCGAGCAGGTTCAGTCTTCCTACCCGCCTTGCCGAATCACTCAGGAAAAACCTGCCGGCCGCGACAAGAACCTACACTATCTATGGCCAAACCGAAGCGATATTCAAATTCTGTGCGGCACCCGCCGACTACACCATTCCACAGGAGCAACGAATGAATATATACACGGGAAAGGGACCGCCAAAGGCCACGGCACAAGAGGGGGCCGAACTGGGACAACCTCTACCCGAAAACAAGGACTCATGGTGGTTCAGTACTCTTGATTTGCCGCCTACCTTCTCGACCTGGTCGCAAGTAACGTTTCTGCACATGTATGTTGTCGTGACAAATCTGCGGGCGATGCTTGAATCCGAAACCGAGTATCAGGATTATCACCGCTACCTGATCGAGCATTTTTCAAGAGTGGCAGAGGACAAGATGATACTGTTGCACAATCTTGCTGCTCAGGGTATCCGAAGTCGGTACCTCAAGGACCTGTTTTTGCAGTATCGGGGGATACTGGCATCCTACGATGAAGGTCTCATCAAGGGAGACGCGGTTCTCGCAAGCGCAGTATGGAGAAATCTATATCGTGCAGATGAACAAGTGGATTGGGAGAAGGTGTCTCTCATCGTCGCGTATCTGCGAAGAGCGGTCGGAACAGTTGGGCAATTGACGTGGGAGGAGTTACTCCGGACTGTGAACAGCCAGACGGCGCCTTGGGCCTTTGATCAGTCCGAACAGAAGCACCTCCAACAGCTAGTGGCTGCGAGGAGCAAGGGCATGAACGAGACTCCTTGAAGATTTAGCTGTACTATTGCCCAGCAGGATTGTCTGTCCATTTTGCTTATGAGCGTCAGATTCTTTTGCATTCTGTCATATGTTCCTTTATTATGAAGGGATTTGACCACTCCCTGAAGAAGATAGACTCTCGTATCCGCCCGCGAGATTCACGACAGATTCATCCTATGTACAATACATTACATTACAACACACCTCTCTACCCAGGCACCCACCAGGTACCTCCTAGTCAAATTTTGGGACGCGACCCACGAGCTCTGAAGTATCTAGTACCTCAGACGTACGTGCCCAAGGTCCCCAGGTACGACGATCTCATTACAGATAGCCTCGTTCATGAATTGTTCAATGGTAAATTAATCTATCCTGGTAGATAAGGGCGCCGACATAAAAAAAAATTGTTTATGTCTTTTCGAGTGACGAAATTTGTATCGAGATATTAAGATAACAAGATACCAAGATATCAAGATAGATAGACAGACAGACAGATATGCTTAGCGACCTATCCAGCACCCTAGGTACCTATAAAACGAGACGTAGAAGACAAGATGCAAAATACAAGATAGAAAACCCTGAATCCAATGGGCGGAGAGACAGTGAGTGAGTTAGAACCGAGTCCCAGTACAGATAGGATGTTCATGCGCCCTACCCTGCCATCCCATGCTATGCGATACCATACCAAAGAATCAATCTCGCTCAGCTCAGACCAGACCAGACCAGACCAATCTTTCTGCTTCGTACCTAGTGATAATAGTGAACGTGTTTGATATCTCTCTCACCCTCTCCCTCTCGCCATCTGTCAGGTACACACACTCATATCACACTCGAACTCGCGGCCCAAAATCCCCCCCGCCCTCTCTAACCAATTGCTACCACCACCTCTCGAAAGGAATCTCGCCAAAGAAAAGGGGGGGTAACACAACGGGTGAAATGTAATGTACCTCGCCAAAAAGGTTCGAACCGCAAAGTCCGCTCCGCGCGCGCGAGGGAGGAGCCCACCCAGACTTTTGGGACCACAGCCCTCTCACCTCACTTCGCTTCACTGCGAGGTCCGAGATAATAGCAGATGCAGAGGCTGTTGAACAGCAAGACCTTGTAGCCCGGTTCGCATGGCTGGACAAGCCCGGTGCACGGGTACGGCGTGGGGTTGGCGGGAGGGAGAGTCGTCTCCTGAGAGCGGACGGCGGGGGGAATGACCTCTGTGTCTTCATCACGGCGTTGGAACCTCAGGTCCGCGGCCGCAGTGAATGCCGTCTCCGTGCTGGAAGTAGCGGTGTTGTCGTCGGTAGCGGTGGCAGCCAGAGTTGTGTCATATGGATACACAGCCGCGGGGGCCCTCACCGCCGGGTCACCCTCCTCGTTGGGTTCAACAGCTGGGCGGATGAATCTGTTGGCCATGTTATACATTGGTCACTTGCAGGAAGAATCATAGCAGGAAGAGAGCATACCCTGGCCAAAAACAACCCTCTTCATCTGATCGGCATTCGCCACTGCTGCTGTAGATGCGTTCACTCCTCACATGGGTCCACATGTAATCGAAGGTGGGGAGCGCAGTGACAAGTATCTTGCTGCCTAACAAGAGACTCAGGGTCCAGAGAGCGCAAGCTTCGAAGGTGCGCATCGTGATAGTGAATAGCGATGATCAAGTGATGTTCAATAGCCTCCGCTGGAAGAATAGGAAGATCAGAAGGTCGTTCGAGAAGGTGCTGGGAGGTATATGAAGAACTTCGCTCCTTCGGAGCCGCACCTGGCAAGCCGTGTAGCGCAGGAATTTCCTTGAAATTCAAAGCGGAGGACCGTCTTTATAGCTTGACAGCTCTTGTGCACCCATTCGTAGGGAAGGAATAGTCCAACAGCGCCACACCGTGTTGTTGGAGGCACAACAAGATTCGTCCAAGGGTTGCAATATTCAAATACCCAGCAGAACAATGCCACCTTGCTCTTGACACTGAGAACGTTCGTGACGGGACCACCATCTCTTGGGGCAACACAATATGACGAGTCCTCGATAAAGAGCCTGGAAGTAGTCAGATGTCTCCCATCGGCTGCGCAGCCTGTGAGACAGCTCGCATAAGGGTGATGGCAGTAAGATCTCGCAGCAGAAGTCGTTGGTTGGACCAGGACTTGAAGCCTCCTGCTTCCTCTGTGCCGATTTGCTTGTTGTAGTTGCAGCTCCAGGGAAAGCCACTCCTTATCAAGCAAGAAGACGGACGAGGCGGCTGCTGTCTCAATGACCTGGGAACATGCATAATTCGATCGGCATTCCCCACAGCTGGTGTTGGCTGGCAGAAGGTACTTACATAGGTACATTGCCGAACCCTTGGATCGGTTCAAAATGTGGCTGATAAGGTCAATCCCACGAGGTTGACATGAATCCTCGTTAGACACCTGTCTTCAGTGGCATGTTTGAACCCTGACAGACTTCATGTCTCCTGTTAAGGATCCTGGTGATGGAAACAAGGACTCCCTTGCCGATTGGGAGATGAATTTGACTGGGTAAAGAGACTTGGACTCTCATTTCTTTGGGGATTGGCCTCGCCATGAATCAACAAGGATTCTCCGATTCGAGTATGATGTGGCACACCGAAACCCTTCCTGCTGTGTATAGAGGTGAGAAGTAGTCGACCCTCGAGCAAGCAAAGCGACAACAAGGCACAAGGATCGATACGGAGGAACAAAAGATCCAATTGCGCAGTTTGCAACTCCGGTGGAGAATGCGGCCAAACACGCTGTTCGCGAGATTGACATGTTGGCCGCATGTGCATATCAATCAACCCTCCAATTCCACACTTGTCCCTCCAAATTGTCCGGCCACGTTGCTCAAGCGCAAACCTAGTCCTGGTTCATTCTCCGAGTTCCTTCAGACTATTCACACTATGACGCCGAGTTCATAGAATTGTGCTGTTGCGCCTTGAAACGCCTGACAAACCCGTCCTTCTGCCCCTGCGAGGGCGAAGCCGCCCACCATGCTCCTCCTCCGTCTCATCTCCCGTCTCCTCCCTCTCTTTGCCCTCATCACATGTTCGCTCGCGGCCGAAGACCTCTACAAAATCCTTGGGTTGGACAGATCTTGCTCAGAACGTGACCTCAAAACAGCTTATCGAAAACTTTCCAAGAAGTATCATCCAGACAAGGCCACGGGAGACGAGAAGAAGTTTCTGGAGGTGGCAGAAGCATATGAAGCCCTATCCGATCCTACGACCCGCAAGATATACGATCAGTACGGTCATGAAGGGCTAGAGAACCACAAGCGAGGAGGGGGTGGAGGTGGTCACCCTCACGACCCTTTCGACCTTTTCTCCAGATTTTTCGGTGGCGGAGGCCATTTTGGTCGTGGAGGTGGCAGTGGCGTGCGGCGAGGGCCTGATCTAGAAGTCCGATTGCACGTACCGTTGCGAGACTTCTACACCGGTGGAGAAACGGAGTTTACAATCGAAAAGCAACAAATCTGTGATGAGTGTGAAGGGTCAGGTTCTGCGGACGGCCAAGTCGAGACATGTCATAAATGTAGCGGTCGAGGTATTGTCATCCAGAAGCACATGCTCGCACCGGGAATATATCAACAAGTGCAGATGGGATGCGACCAGTGCGGGGGACAGGGCAAGAGCATCAAACACAAATGCAAGGTTTGCGGAGGAAACAAGGTCGTCAGAGGTCCCACGACCTTGACTGCTGTGATCGAGAAGGGAATGCCCAAGGGTCACAGACTTGTCTTCGAAAGTGAAGCCGATGAACATCCCGACCACATCGCGGGCAACCTCTACGCCTACATAATGGAGACAGAGCCAGGCATCCACGAGAACGAGGCGGAGCGCACTGACGGAGTGTTCTTCCGGCGGAAGGACAACGACCTATATTGGAAAGAGGTTCTCTCACTCCGAGAGGCGTGGATGGGCGAGTGGACTCGCAACATTACGCACTTGGACGGGCACGTTGTCCCGCTGTCCCGCAAGCGCGGCGAAGTCGTTCAACCCGGCCAGACCGACACGATCAAGGGCGAAGGCATGCCCATTTATCGAGAGGGACACGTTCACGAACACGATCATGATGCCCCCGATTTTGGAAATCTGTATGTGCAGTATGTGGTGGTGCTGCCGGATCAGATGGAGACAGGGATGGAAAAGGAGTTTTGGGCCGTGTGGGAGAAATGGAGGAAGAAGAAAGGCGTGGATTTGTTGAAGGACAGCGGAAGGCCAGAGCCAAGTGTATTTGTAAAAGATGAGCTTTAGATCATTTGCTTGGTTGGAACCTTAGATGGTATGCAATACGATAGATTGACGGACTGGGCTTGTCCTCTGCTGGATTCTGTAAGGGACGTCGAGTCGACTGGTCCGCTATTCGCTGACCACTACACGACAAGTATTCTCCCTCGCTCGCTAGAGTGATATAATACCTCCCATCTTTGCCTGTCTGCTTGGGACATACAAGTGGTTTCTCGGCTACTTGACCACCTACATGTATTTACCTAGTAGTATCTCAATATTTTAGGGGTGCAAGGCTGCCAAGGGGCTAGCTAGACAGAGTGATTCCCAGCCAAGCTTTACCCGTCTCCTACGCCTAGTGGAGTAAGACCAAGATCACGCAACGGGCCGCAGTTGGGCGGCGTTAGGCCACTTGGCCACAACCGTGGCACGAGTGGTTTCATTACTCAATCAGACATTCGCATTATTGTGATTGCACACTTCAGTGCCACGAAGCCTTCGAGTGCTCGGTAGGTAAGATCGTCCCCAGCCCCTGACGTCTGACGTGTGAATAAGTAATCGACAACGGTAGGAGAGTGGCTTGGGGGGCCTGAGACCATGGTTCCATGTTTGAACGCGGGGTAGTCAAGCCTGAGGTGCCCATTGTTGTGGAAGGGTTGCTGGTGCTGGCTGCAGCTAAACAGTCGCTGGGTAGTGCCCCATGACCATCTACATAACCATTCCCCAGTACCGAGTAGTCGAGCTGAGAGACCCTGCGCCGGAGAGACCGGGGCCAGGTGGCACAATGGCTTTCAGGTCGCTCGACCACGCAAAGCTCATCTGAGGATGGTTCTGACCTTGACTTGGTCCAACTACTCTCTCTTTGATTACTGAAATACCATCAAGACGAGTTGCTATGGTGTTCAGTCCCCGCATACCGATCTTACCAAAGTCAACCTTTTCGGCGTGGTCCTCCAAAGTTCAAGGAGTCTTGGTCAGAATGTGGAGGGCGGGGATAGCGCAAGGTCTACCTCTCTACCACAGCACGATCCTTGACACACGGTCTCTGCTAACGCTTGCGCGCGGCAGATGATCTCCAGGAAGAGCAAGACCCGACAGTGGCCGGGGTAAAGCCACTTCCATTCCAAATCGACGCCCAGGATGAAAAGACCGATCGAGGAGAATCTGAAACTTATCTACACTTTCCCCGCCCCCAACGCAAGGAAAATCCATCCAGGCTCACCCGTTCAACGTCCAGTTCGCTCAAGGCCCAGCTCACAAAGCACCCGTCTCAATGCGCGCGGTCACATGGGATGAGAACCCGGCCCAAGATGACGCAGAGAGCCATAGAGGAGCAGGACGGTGCTTATGTCGTGGTCGGCATCCAGGATAACCCGACAGGATTGAAGCGTGAGGTGCTGGTACAGTTGTCAAAGGGCGACAAGCCCGTCGATCTCTTTGAAGGGATCCGAAAGACGGCCTGGAAACTGCGCCCTCTGCACCACCGACTCCTCTCGCTGAAACATGTGGGAGGGTTTGGAATTTACGAATGCCATCCCGCAGACGACTACCACACTCCCGTAGAAGTCGACCGGCAGACCGAGGCGGCGCTGGCTGAACTGTACACCGCGTACCGACACGACTGGCACGACAAGGACAACATGTGGCGAGGCTGGATCCACCACTACTTCAACGAGGGAGACCGGTTCCCGGACAGGGGTAGATATGCGCTCCAGCTGGTCCTGTCGTGGTCGATTCGGAAGATCCTCATCTGGAGCGCAACGCCGCTGGTGCTCAGTCTGGTCATTGGTTTCTGGTACATGTACAAGCCGCGAGATCCGGGGTCTGACCCGGTCGCCATCACCCAGACAGCGTGGACCATTTCTTCATACATTGTCACGACTGCGGGAGGTGAGTTTATCCTCAGACCATCGACGTCTTTCCTCGGGGCTTTGTCTACCTTGTAAAGGAAATATACTTACAAGCGCATCAAGTGGCGATTGCGATTTTGGCGGCCATCACCAGCATCAGAGACGTCTGAGTGGGGTAAACAGCATTTCTTGCATGAGAAGACCTGTCTCGGTATGTAGAGACTCGAAGCATTTCCTCCCGATATTTGAGACTAAAATACTTATTGCCGATACACCGAAACTCGACCAGGAGCGAACTGACAAAAGTTGTTCAGAAATTGCTGCCTGCATTGGTGCCAGCAACAAAAACAACCAGAATGGTGGCATATCTTGAACCAGTCACAGTCAGCCATGAACAGCATTGACCAACGTGGACGATAGGTTTTGTTTTTCGAGTGCAGTAATGGAAAGATGCCACGTACGTCGCTCCAGCCATGAAGATCTCAATGGATCTTGCCTTGATAATGACGGAGACTATCGCTATGAACAAACTGGCCGCAACACCGACAACCACGATCCGCGCCGTCATGTTCTTCTGTGCGCTGCAAATCACCATGGGGATGAGCAGGACAAGGATCAGGAGGACGGCAATGAGGAATCGAGTCGCCCGTGTCAACGCCGAGCTGGTACAGATGTACACGTTGGGATCCCTCGAGACGTTGTGGAATGGAAGCTAAGACGGGACCAATGTCCTTGTAGGTAAGCAAATGAGCGAGTCAGAAGGTTTATGGTCTCTACACAAGCCGCTTTGGTCCTCGATGGGGGCTCACCTCTCTAAAATCTTTCCAATAGTGCATGAGTCGGTCCGCTAGCCAGGACTCGACTCGGGCAACAGCGTCGTCTGGCAACGGTGCAATGCTCACCAAGTCCCTGGGCCGGAGAAGGTATGCTGTCTCGTCCCTGGCTAGGCAAGCGTTGCCCTCGACCCAATGGTTCAGGCTCGAAATGTCCCGGGTTTTGGCAGGGTCGAGGGACAGGATCTGTCGACTCCTCTCGATCATCGAATCTAAACCATACACTCCCTTTTCAGCAAAGCCTCCCATCCGAAAGGAACAAGACAAAGAGCCAAGTACGGACGATAAAAAAACAAGGTGTGGACTTGCCATAATCCACCAAAGCGGTATCGATGCGTGACAAGATGGCCTCTCGCTCCACGTTCTTGTCCCGCCTGCAGCTCGCGAGAAAGAGCGGGTTGGTTTCCTGGTGGTCGACCATCTCAAGCTGCTTCTCGAGCGTAGCCAACTTGTCCTGCTTCAGGAGGAGGAGACGAGCCCGCAGGGTCGAGAAGCGACGATAGATGTGGAAGGCGTTGTGTGTGGCGACCAAGGTAGAGAACCGCGGATAACCCAGAGGGTAGTCCTCGACTTGAAGACAGGGAGATTCTATCAGCACTCTATACACATCACCCCCATCTCATTCACAATGAACGGGTCGTTGTTGAAAGAGGCGCCTTGGAGGCAGCAGTGGATTACTTACTTTGTCGATCGGGCAAGTCTTCAGCCTTGGTATTGTGTCTCAGAGACAGAGACAACCTTTGCAGCCAGCCTGTCAAGATGCTCCCCATCCCATTCATCTTGTCTTTGATCACTTCCTTTTCTTTTCAGCTGTAATACTGGCGAATGTGACCCCTCTCTTGATCGGAAGCCTAGCTTAGCCGTTCGTTCTGACGCTCTTTTTTTTTCTCTCCCTCTTCTTCTCACCAATTTTCCCAAACGTAGTCCAGTCATGATTGTTTTGACGGGGCAAAGGCAAACTTTCAAACTGCGCAAATTGCCAGCGAATCTGAGTCGAAACTGATTGGTAAAGGGGAAGAAGGGTGAGGCCGTCCCGGCAACCACGATTATTTCGATGATTGGAGGAAAAGGGGGTCGAGCGTCAGGCAGTTCTGGCTAGCTGGTCCGGCTGACCTGAGGTGGGAGACATGTTTGTGCGTGATTGGTATATGTGTACACAAGTACATTGAGTAGAGTGGCTCGTTTGCCTTTTCTTGTTTCTTCTCTTTTTTTGCCTCGCTTTTCGCTTGCTCAGGGCTCAGCCTCATCCACATAGGTACCGAGTCATCTCATACCTTGCCGCCACCTTGGTCATCAAGGACCAATACGTCTCGTGCGATTCGCGGACGATTGTCAAGTTATCATCAACGGACCAGACCACCAGCACACTATACATACATAGGGGGGTTAGTGACTCGGTCCATTTGTGAGGGGTTTCGATATGGACGCCCAACAATCCGGGTATGTTGGCCACACTCAGATCCCCAGATTCCTCATTGTCGAGTTCCACGCGCTTCTAACAAGTGTCACACACACGTACACTCGGGCAGGGATGAGAGTCCCAAGTTCCGCGTCGCCGACACTGGCGGTCGTCCGTACATCAAGCCCTACAGCTTGGTGAGTTGTCTCGGTCTCATGTACAAAGTCGACAGACAGACGGTCAGACAGGCGGCGAGGTAGTCAGCTTAGCCAAGATAGTCTGTCTCTGTCCTGTCCTGTCCCGTCATCCAGTTCTTCTCGAAAAGTTTCCAAATCTGATCGCTCCGCGGGGAGGGCAGGTGAAGAAGTACCGACCAGGCGACCAGGTCTATTTCACTGCGCCGGGCTCGAATCCCCGTGTCCGCCAGGGTCCGTACACCGTGCGCTCAGCGGCCGGGGAGGGCAAGTACATCCTCGTAGACGAGGGCGGGAAGGTGGTCAATGGCGGCCAGGCGGTCAGCGAGAAGGATCTGGAGGATGCTGCTGCTCCGACGTCTGGGTGAGAACAAAGGGAATATGGCGGGATGATTGTAATGAGGGCTGGAGGATAAGTGACGTGGTGGTCGGTGCTCAGTAACACCTCTACCTCTCACAAGAATTCAGGATGCAGTTTAACTACAGGGACAAGATTTCCAACTGCTGGCTCCATGAGATTTGAACCAAGTAACCAGAACGCGCGAGGATATTACTTGTTAGGACTAACAACATATCGATACGTTGCCGTTCCACCTCCAAGAGACCACAGGTGGACGGACCAGTCTACACCCCCCCGGACTCCTCATCTATAGTGGTGCGTATAACAAAGTTCAAGGCCTGCCAGTTCTCGGACAAAACCCCTGCTCTAGCTCCTCGCATGGGCGAAGTAAGCCTGAGAAGAAAGGTCGACATGGTGTCATGTTCTCCACGCAAGCCGGAACCAACGTCGTCGGCAGATTTCGGAAGCTGCTTCAAGGACAGCCGGTCGATCGAGGTTGCTTCACTTGTCACAAAGAATTTAAAAACATCTTCGCAGTATTTCTGCCCCTGGGCCACAATGTCGTCTGGCACTATCATGTCAATCGTCATGTCACGATTTTCGCTCCCTCCACAGACCACGATATAGTCCGTGCCGTCGTCTTGAATCATATTCACAATCTTCCAAGAAGGACGCAAATCGAGCAGATGGACGTATATTGAAGCTTTGCCAGTGTTTTGAACCTTGATTATCAACGTATCTTTATTTTTGACGTCGAGAACGCCGGAATTTACCGCACACTTTCCCTCTGGGCTTTGAAGTTGAATAGAGAACGATTCAGAGAATGGTGGCATTGGATGGCGGTTCTCGATTGCTTCAATTGATTTGTAAATCGCGACATGCTCGAGGATGCTGATGGCAACATCTATTGCGTCGTCTCTGCCGCAGGGCACAGTTGGAAGACACACCAGTGGCTGACTTGACTGATCTGTGACTTCGTACTCACGACGACTGTTCACGCGGATTTTGAATGCACAAGGCTGGCCACCCAGATCGTCTTCACAAAATCTGAGAAGCGTTCTGGGATTAGACCTTTGGTGCCATGTTTTGATATCGTCGCCCTCCAGGCTGAGTTGGATCGTAGTATTTTGAAGACGCAGCTGAGTGCGAGGCATGGCTACCCAGCCCGACTTGACCCTGCCCAGAGAAATGTCTGGGTTGGACGACACCAAGTCCGATGTGAGACCGCGGACGACACTCGCAGTGACCCGAATATGAGTGTCCGATCTGGGATCTGCATTGCGTGCTTCTGTCAATGGGCAAAGTGCAAACTCGTCACCATGTTGAACACCATGCGCATAGCCAGCGCGTAAGCACAGTTGGCTACCTTCCTGTGGGAAGAAAACAGTGCTGAAAGAATTGTCAGCGTTGACCAAGCGTTTTCCAAACCATGAGAGTGTCTCATTGCCGAAGCGTCTAGGGTTCTGGTGAGGTACTGAAGCATGAAATCTAGCACAGATGTGCTGATACAGAGCTTTAGTATCCATCTCATCACCCGACCTTCTCAACGCCTTTAGTGCCCGGAGTAAGAAATATGTGAGCGCGCCGTGGAACTTTCCATCATCGAATGCAAACTCTTCAGCAGTCTCATATGGTCCACAGGCACAGAGAGTGGCATAGCCTTCTGGATTGATCAACCACTGAGGGGCGATTCTGCCGTCACGAAGAGGCTCCTGGCCCCGGTGAGGAAGTGAGGAATAAGCAGCAGCGATGCTGTTGTCGTAGTCTATACTTCTCACCTTTGGTCTGCGTCTGGATCCGTCTCGGGTGACACCTCCAGAGAAACAACAGTCAAGAACTAAAATGACGACCAAGCTCTTGTCCACCATTGCTTTTAATAGCCTTGCTAACTCGCTTCCCGGAAGTTTCCTCATCCCGTGAGCTTCGTCATACAGCACCAACGCAAACTCCTCCGTGTCAAGATGTGGATCTTGGCTATTTGTTAGGGGAGTCCGACCTGTTGTACCATGACCCGAGTAATGAATGTATACTGTATCTCCGGCTCTTGCTTGCTCTTCTATGCTCCGTAGCTCGCGAGTGACATTTTCGTATGTGGGTAGTAGGGCAGGTTCTTCCGAAGGGACGTTAGCAGTAGAGTCGGAAGGTTGACTCGCCGTCAAGACTGTGGCATCAATGTGAGGCGCGCTCTCGTCCAGGAATGCCTTGACTGATGTGACATCGTGAACGCAGCCGTTCAAGGACTGGTTGTCGCGGTAGAAGTTGATTCCGATCAACACCGCCCACCCCTTAGGCTTAGTACCTGCCATTTGAGAGAAGTATACCGCTAACGAGGGAGTCTTTTGGCTGTGCGAACGGGTTCTGTCTGTGACTGTGGCACTGGGTATCCGAGTGAGGCTGGAATCCCCAACAGAGCTGAATTGATCACTTCAGCTGCTCTGCAGTTTGTCACAGCCTTGGCATGAAATTGACAATCCTAGCATCGTGGAGGTGATGAGGCACTTTCTGGAATTGAAGAATCACTCTTGTCTTGTCGTTCGAGGCCTTTCTGTCTCTGCTGGAGACAGCTCTTGGGCTGGTTGCCCCGTCTTCGCGGCGGCAGTATGCAGGTGCAATTGGGCCATCGACGCCTTGCTAACGACGAAGTCTGAAAGAGCAGGGAAACACATGCACACTTGCAGGTTCACTTCCGAGCAGAACTCCAATCGATCACTCCCCACGCCTACCTACGCCTATTATCGTCGACCCCATGATGCAGCCACGGGTTGCGGCTCAACGCCCGCGTGCGCAGGGAGCTTCCCCAATCCGTCCAGGTGCATGAAGCGGCTGAGAGGATGCCTGGCTCTAGTGGAGCCACGTCAGCTGCAGGCTGAAGTCGAATGTGATCGTGGTACCGAGTATACCATGCTATTTCATCGATGGCTTGTGATCAAATATCTCGATTCATAAATGACAATCATCGACCTGGGGTCTGTCCTGGGCGGACCTTGTTCACGAAATTCTGGCAGAGATTGCGCCATATGCCATACAGAGCCCATATTGGATTGAAATTATGGAACAAAGAGAGGAGGCCATCAGAACCCTAAACGAGAAAATTGAAGACATGCAAGAGATCGTCAACAATATTCCTGAGGGTAATCCGCTAAAGGCGAAGGCATTCAGTGGACTCGGGAGGCTATTCAAAGAGAAGTTCTACATAACTGACGATAAAAGTGACATTAACAATGCAATTACAAATGCACTGGAGGCCGTCACTGCGACTGAAGACAGGCACAATCGTCGGACGTTGCTAAATGATCTTGGGATTTATTACCGCGAGAAGTTTCTGCTCAGTGACGACTTGCCAGACATTGACAAAGCGGTCAACTATCTCAGGGAAGTCATTGACACCTACTCACGTGAGGATCTGATCCCAGCAAGAGTCTTTAACAGTCTCGGAACGGCTCTTGGAGATCGGTATCTGAAAGATGGGAAGGACGCAGATATCGATGAAGCGATAGAGCACATCAGAAACGCGATCAGCGCTACACCCGCCAATGACCCAGACAAGGCAAGACTCTGGAACGACTTGGCAAGTCTCCATGGAGATCGATTTTCGAAGAAAGGCGAGATGCCTGACCTTGATCAGGCTATTCAGAACGCCCACGAAGCGATTCAGTTGACTCCGGATGATCACCCAATGTATGCGACCCGTTCGAACAATCTTGCGACTCTACTGCGAGACCGAAATCAAATCGGTCCAACAGAGAGAGGTCTAGACGCAGCGGTAGGCTTCGCGCAACACGCGGTGACAGCCAATACCCACAACAAGTCGGAACGTGCAATATATTTGAGCAATCTAGCCGAGATACTGGGCGAGATATCTGTGAGAAGAGACTCTCAGGCAGCGGACTTTGACCCTGCTATTGAATACGCGCAAGAAGCTATAGATATGACGGAGAAGGACCACCCGGATAGACCCAGACGCTTGAGCAACCTTGGTGGGCTCCTCCGACAAAAGGCTCTTAAACTTCCACCTGAAGATGCGAAATCATGCCTCGAAAGGGCTATTGAGGTCACTTTCTGTGCAGTAAAAGCAACAAAGACTGATGATCAGGACTATGCTGCACGCGCGAACAATCTGGGCCTTCTTTTTGGTGATGCATACCGATGCAATGGCCGACCGGATGATCTGGACAAGGCGATTCAATATTCCAAAGAAGCCATCGACGGGACAGACGACGATAGTCCGGACCTTGCGACGTACTACAGTAATCTGGGAAGTTTGTTCCACGACAGATATGAGTTGCACGGCCAGGCACGGCAGGAAGACCTGCGGACTGCAATGTCGGCATATGAATCCTGCCTTGGGACGTCAAGCGGGTTTCCACTGACTCGCGTACTTGCGGGACAAACGGCTGTGTACCATCTGGCAGCGGAGAAGAATTGGATCAAAGCCGCTCAGCTGCTAGACCAGATTTTAGGTTTACTCCCTATGATCACGCAACCAACCAGTGCTCGGGACGATCTGCAACATACCCTTCGACAGCTCTTCGGACTCGCATCGGTGACGGGCTCTGTTTTCCTCAAGGCTGGAAGATCTCCAGCCAAAGCTTTACAGGCGCTCGAGCAGAGCCGAGGGATCATCTCGAGTCTGATGATGGACTTCAGAGCAGATTTATCATCTCTCGACGAAGAGCATGATGACAAGCGGTCTCGGTATGTCAAAATCAGACAGCAAATCACAACTGCGAATAGGTTTCGAGATTCCAGCTTTCTTGAAACATCACCGAGAGACTACATGACACACGATGAACATATCCGTCGGCTGTTCAAGGATCTGTCTGATATCCAAAACGAGATACGACAATGTCCCGGGTTTGAAAACTTCCTCCTACCTCCTTCGGAGAATGAGATCTCGGACTTGGCTGGAGACGGGCCGCTCGTTTCATTTAATGTTAGCGACTTCAGCAGCGAAGCGTTCTTAGTAACTACACAAGGCGTAAAGGTGGTAGAACTGCCTGACCTGAGGAAAGGAAATGCTCGGCGAGTCATTGACGCCTGCGCTTCAAGAGGGAACGTTGCACGACGGGATGGATTGCTTTCTATTGGGGGAAAAAAACAAGAACAGCCCCTCGTTTCAGATGCTCCAACCGAGTTGTCAACCCTGTGGAAAGTCGCGGTAAAGCCTGTCCTTTCCAAATTGGGGCTTTTGACGGCGGTGTCCACCGAAAAGCTGCCGCACATCTGGTGGGTTGGTGGTGGGATAATGGCACAAGCCCCTATTCACGCAGCTGGCTACCACTCCAAGGGATCAACGGAGAACACGCTGAGCCATGTCGTCTCCTCGTATGTCACGACTCTGAAAACACTCCAGCTCATCAGAAAAAGACCTCCAACATGGCGAGGGAAACTCAAGCCAAAAGTCCTTGTTGTTTCAATGCCAAACACACCAGACCATAACGTTACGCTCAACGTTGCAGATGAAGCGGAGGCGATTGGGAAGCATATTGGTTCGTGGGCGTGCACGAAAGTCTTGGAGCAGCCTACCAAGCAGGAAGTTCTCGACGAGTTCTCGACGTGCACAGTAGCACACTTTGCCTGTCACGGCATTGCAGACTCGGTTGAGCCTGCCAAAAGTGCTCTTCTTCTTGGTAGGGAGAAGCAGGAGCGCCTCGCCCTCGGGGATTTGGACACGGTCATCCATGACGGAGTGGAACTGGCGTATCTCTCGGCTTGTTCGACCGCGGAGCTGAAAGTGGAAGACCTGGTTGACGAGAGCATCCACTTGGCCAGTTCTTTCCAACTCAGCGGCTTCAGACACGTTATCGGGACGCTGTGGGGTGCAGACGACGCAGCCGCGGTCGCCATTGCAGGGAAGTTCTACGAAGAGTTGGTCAGGGAGATGGATTCGGAGGGATTCTCCGTGTCGCATGCGCTCCACCGTGCCGTGGCAGATTTTCGAGGTCGGCAAGAAAACTGCGCAGCGGCCTGGAAGTGGGCGCCGTTTATCCACATGGGATGTTAATCAAGGACACAAACAGTGCTGTTGTCCAGAGAAGCTCGGCGGATAGTATGTCGGTCTATGCGAGGTTAACAGGTACTCACCCTGTCAAGTTACTCAGCACGATGCAGCGCACGGTACCTTGTGGAAGGAAGGGAGGATGCTGGACGGACAGTCGAGAATGTATTGTAATCCCAGTGCAGCTTTGGTGCTTGCATGCAAGCCTCTCAAAGGAAGAAAACTTGGCACACTCTGACGGTGGGTAGACACCCTCCTGGACGTTGGGTAGTTACTCAATAGCGACAAAACGCCCACCAGATGAAATACCGCCAAATATTATATTATCGATCAGGATTAGGGAAGAAAGTCATCATGCATGCCAAAGGACAGAATCAACTTTTGAGGCATTAGTGAATCGCCGCTCCTCGTCGCTATCTCTCCTTCTCGTCAGACTGTGGTGCCACTTATCCTGAACATCGGCTCGCTAGATATCCTAGTACTAAGTTTACCGACTCGCCGAGTACAAGTACTCGGGTCACTCTACCACGTCACGTCTCCTCACCTAGCCCTTTCGGCCAATAGAAGTGGATCTAGTCCCCAGCAATGCAGTAGCTCCACTTAAATTCTGTGTAGTGGGAACTTACTTGTGAGTATAGGAGAAAAAAGCGGTCCAACCCCACTCTGGAGAGCCGACCCCAATTCTTATACTTTGTATTAAATGGACGAGAACGGCGCTAGGGCTAGTTGGCTTTTCAGAGTCCTTTTCTCATGACTGACTTTTGCTGGCTTTCTGCCTCCCTCGTTCTCATCGTTTCGCCCTTCGATCTTTCCGCTTGCATCCTCACGCTGTGGAGTGACTGCAGTCCTTGACTCTGCACAAGGCCCAGGCCCTGGATCCTTGTTGCCATCGTGAAAAAGGGCCTAGACATCTGCGAATGACGGTTCAGGTAATTTGCCCAAAGTCTGTTGAGAGGGACCGATATGGCATGGTTAAGATTCCAGATCCCAGAGACCGATCGACAAACTTCCTCGAATTTCCTTCACTGGTTCTTCGAGGGCTGTCACAACATGATGAGATAGATGGCCATCATCGTTGAAGGGATAGATCAATCTGGAAGATGATCGTCATATGTAGGTGGTGCGCTTCAAACTCTTCTGTGCTGCCCAATGGCTCGGAAAAGTTGAAGCCCATCAAAGTGGGCGAGCATACCGGCCGACATATTTTGTTTGAACCATGACGCACTGTCAGAGGAGGTCCGTTCATAGCATTCGGCGTCACTCCGCCGCTGCAGCGCCGTTTTGATCTCAAACAGTCCTGATGGCCACAAGTACCTGTGACTTCAGTGACATTGACCAGTCATGCGGATCGTTGTTGGGTTGATTCCACATAGCGAAGAATCTCTGCCACATCGGTTTGTAGAAGCACTTCGCAAATACGTATTCCTGACTCAAAGCTCACGTAAGTTCCTGCCCATGTATAACGCCCTCACGATCTCGGTTTCACCAATCGAGTATAAATGTTCAAGAATCTGCGATTTCGATAGGCCAGCGGCGTTGCAAATGCGTGTAGCATCGAGGAAGAAGCCAACTTTTCGAACAGCAACAGTGTTGCTGTTCAATGTCGCCAACATGAACAAACCCTGATCTACAGTGGACGGGTGCCTCCATCGAGGCATGTGAGTCTGTCGATCTTGGAGTCGCTCATTTCGTTGATTTCATTTTCAACTGACGTACCGATATTAGCCCACAACGACTCCCTAGGCATAACACATTCAGAACTCGGAGGTATTTGATCGAGACCAATTGGCTCAGCATCACTGCTGGACCGTCTACGTTTTGTAGACCTGGTGTCGTAGTTCTCTCGATGTTCGGTAGACTGATGACTACAGGCTGAAGAGGCTTCCGGCCGTTGTGCACCGCCTCCACTCCTCACTGATGCACTGGTATCGTGCCACAATGGTCCCTTGATGGTCGATGTTTCTTCCGGATTAATATCTTCCAATCCTCCACGAGACTGAAGGCGTGGGGTGACATTTCCAAGTTGCGGAGACATTTCGTCGAAAAGACCAATCTCTGAAGCTATTTCCAAGCATCTGGTCGCACACTGTCGCTCTTGAGGTTCCCATTTGACCATGTGGTCGCCAAGAAAGTCGATGAGAGGGTCCGAATCCCAGTCGTCTACATACATGATCAGAGTTGAGCACCAGGATTGGCCCCATAGTCGAAGGTCTCTTTCCTTTCCCTTAGCATTGTTGGGGGCCTTATGGAGGTCTGTTTTCTTTCCCACGGGATTTTCAGGACTTTCCGACAAAGGGAGGTTATAGCCGTATTGCACCGCGATCACAGCAAGAGACCAGATATCCACACGGTTAGTGTAGTGTCCGCCGAGAAAAATTTCCGGAGCCGCATACATTGGAGAACCACAGAAGGTTTTGAGGTCGAGTCTATTCTGAGCGAGTCCAAAGTCGGCCAATTTGACGTGGATTGGAGTTCTAGAGAACACTAGAATGTTCTCCGGCTTCAGGTCTCGATGTGTGATACTCTGGCCGTGCAGGCAGACGAGACCCTCCAAGCATTGCCTGAGGACGCTCACCGTGTCGGTGTCGCTCAACGGAGAACCTTTATGACCTGCTTCCAGATTTCCTAGTGGTAAGTATTCCATCACCAGGAGGGGCTCCGGGTTCGTCGCATAATCGATCAGTTGTACAATATGGTTCTGAAGAGGTCAGCAGCCACAGACAAGGGATAATGTCGTGCCATACATGGACGAGCTCTTTCATGATTTCAATCTCCTTCTCCCAACCTTTAGGGCGAAAAAATTCCTTCTTGGCATATTCAGCCCCGGTGCTGGCATTGACTACCCTCCACACGCGTCCGAAAGCACCAGTTCCCAGTATACTAAGTCGTAAATACAGTGGTCTTTTGTCAGACGGAAGGTCCTCACTCGCGGCTAATGAGGTTTCCGTACTGTGGAAGGCCAGATTGTTGAAAGCCACGAGGTGTTCTGGGGGGGCGTCCGCCGTGTATCTCGTCGCGTTCTCTTGATATTCCCTCACGTGTGTCTTGTAATGCCGGGGGAGATGGACGTCAAATTCGAGCCCACTCTTTTTCCTCATTTTAACAGTTACTGTATCGAAATCAGGGAAGATGATCCACTGGAAGTGTCGTCGTAGCTCGTGTTCTCCTTGACGGTCGTAGCTGACAATGAGGCCATTCGTCGAGATATCCTTGATCACCGGGCGTCGTTCGGCGTCAATCGTAATGCAGAAGTGTTGCCCACTGACTCTGTATTGCCCTCTTCTCGAGGTAAGCAGGACATCACAAAGCTCGGGGTCACTACCAAACGTGACCCGGCCCTTGACTTTGGTTTGCTGGTCAAAACTTAGACGGATCCGGTGGTGGTTCTCGAGCAGATCCACAGGAGCGCCCTCGTCTTCCGGTGCTTGAGGCGTTGTCTCACGGCTCGGACCGTCATCTAGGAGTGCGACGGGTCTCTCATATCGAGAACTGTTATGGGGCAGACGGAATGCATCAGCAGCGAGACCAAGTTCGTCTCTGGGAGTGAGGGTCAAGAAAGTATTTATGTCGTCCATGTCTCTTTTGAAAGAAGGCAGGACCGCGGGACCGCAAGCGGATAGAGAACTTTGTTCTCTGCGTTGTACAGCCCAGGCAGCATGCTCCCGTCATAACAACCAGGCTGGAGACGCCCGGGGACCAGATCAGCTCTAGTGCCCCACAACGGTGCCGCACTGGCGCCTGAGCTAATACTAGCATTTGTCCACAGGCCAAGTTGCCAAGCCACGTGCCAACCAGCACCTCGTATCCTGCCACGTCTGGTGACTGCCCCCCGTTAATACCGCCTAACAGTCGCGCTTTGGCCACCACGACAGCCTCACTTCTGCCATTACCCTTCGACCACCTACCGCCACCGATCATCTACAAATGCCCTGACCATGGAGCTTAACCTATTCGCTCATGAAGCTCTGCAGCTGACGGTAGAGGGTCTCGGTGATGCAATGTTTATCAACCTCAGAGACCCAGAGAATGAAAGTGCCGAACTTCTGGCACATTTGCAGTTGAGACCATTGATCCCTATCCCTAGATGTAGTGCGTTTTGTGCTGACTCGTTCTATGATTCAGAAAACTGTACCATCAACGCGTCGAGAGAGATCAGGCTCGGTCTTTAGACGGAGCTGAACCCTACTCCCGCTCCAGCTCGTTCTCTGCCACCCCCGTGATTGACGAAGAAGAAGACAGTCGGGAGTGCTGGCAACGCGAACAGGAGTCCTACAAAGAGCTGGTGGCAGATGGTGGTCGACCATCTCATCCACTTAGCTTTGGAATTGACGAACCGAAAGAACCGGGGGAGTACAAGGACATTATTTGGTTTTGGCGCTGTACTTGTGGGTATGCATGCGCATACACCGGCCAGCGAAACAGATGGAAACAGTTCCGACAGTTTCAAGATCAGATGCGGAGATTTTACGTGCCGCGAAACAGATTCGAAGAGTATAAAAACACCGTCCAAAAAAGTCAGGCAGAAATAGCACACCAATGGGACCTTCGAGTGCTTGAAGACCGACACCGACAAGACCGACTGGAGGACTGGAATGAATTCCGAGCCTTCTATTTCCGAAAGCTCAAGCAGGCCGAGAGGCGAATCGAGCCCGCAAAGCAGGAGCTGGCACTGGATGAGAAAGCGTGGGCAGATGGTCGAATACGATTCCACGATGCTATCGCCGATCGCGGCGTCGTATACGGCCGGCTGAATGATATTATCGCGTCGGAACACGAGATTGCGAAAGCGAAGTCGAGAATGGAATCAGCCGAGAAGGCATCGCAGGCAGCATTGAGCAGGTCAGACACGAGAGCGGTGGAGATGGCAGAACAGGAATTCTTCGCAGCCAAGACGAACTTGGAAGCAGTTTCTGGGTCTGACGAATTGAGGAGACTCCGTGATGGCTACGATCTCATAATACTCGAAGAAAAGGTGGTAATTGCGCGAGGTCACCTCAGGGGGTTTGAGCTGGATGTCAAAATGTGGACCACATATGTAAAGTGGATCGACGATCAATATCTAGCCATCGCTGCTGAATGCGGACATCCTGTCAGCAACGAGAACCCTTCGTTGCGCGAATCTTTGTGGAATGCCAGAGATGAGGAGACGCGAAACCTGCGTCCTCGACATCCTCGGGGCAGTCCTGCTCGATCAAAGTCTGTTCTCGGTCCGAATCACTCGTCCAGGATAACCAAATCCGACAAGACAAAGCCGAGTCGACGACACAATACACGGCCATCGTCTTCTAGCGTCCCAGAGCCGAGTATGATTCAGAGTGCCATCGGGGACGCGCAGCCACCGCGTCGAAGTACACGACTACAGACTCTCCACGCCAGAAAGGCCGCTCAAGTTCCCGAAAAGAGCATTCTTGGTCCTGTAAGTTCGTCCAGGGTGACTAAAGTCAAATTGGTACCAGATACAAAGAAACGGGATATCAGTTCAGGACAACGACCTAAACAACGTGAACAGCCAGCCACCAATAAGGCCCACACGAAACCCAAGTGCCTCGAGCAAAACAACAACGTCCGCAGATCCCGTCCGCGATGACAAAAAGAACAGCAAATATTCAGCAGCAATCTTGAGAGGGATTACAGGACAAGTTCCACCCAGGAATCTTTGGATAGCTTCTGGGTGGTCTTGCACGGCTGACGGTGTTTGCGGATATCTCATACCATACGTATTCCGCCCCTATGCCGTGTGGATGTTCTCTGCGTTCGGCCTACGTCGCTTTGCTCATTCTTTGTCCTTGGCTCCGTTGCTTCCTCGATGGAGCTGGCTTATCACGACACTGTGACACCCCAGTCTTGAGTTGATATGCCGGCAGCAGGCAGACAGCCAATTACCCGTCCCTCCAACCACCCGGTGCTTATCTGGGGCGGATCAGACCCAGTGAAGATGGATTGGGCACGTCCAGGTATTCTGTTGGCAGATTGCTCTTCTGTCAGTAACACTCCATGCTTGACATCAGAAAAGGAGGAAAGGAACGAGCGTAGTGTCCGGAGAATCAGTTTGAATTTACCACGCTTTGATGTGTTTGAACGGTAGCTTACGTGGCATCAGGAAAACTATGCAGGGACTTTTCACAAATCTGTGGTATGAAATGACTGGTTACGAAGGGGCATCAATCATTGGGGGGGTTGCCGTCCTCGAGATAATGTGGTGTGACTATCGCAACAGGCCGCCCAAGACCTTGGAACTTCACATTCAGTCACTTGTGGTCTGTGCGCAATGCACTCCAAAAGAAACCTCATCTGCTATGACTGGAGCTGGCTGGTTGGCTTGACCAGCGGGCTGCCAGGTGTCTCATTCTCGGGTTTCAATAGGATCACCGTGTTGCCGTCCGTAGCCGCTGGCTCTGAAGGGTGATGACTTCCCAAATCTTGAGGAGGTCCAGAGGACGAAGGAAATTGTAGATCCGATCTCTCAAAGATGTCGAAATGTAAATCAGATGGGATTGCGTCGATTGCTGAGTAAAGGCTTTAGAAGTGAATGGACATCTAGGTATCATAGGCACTTTTGGTAAACTTGTACGCCGTCCACTTCTCTTTCCCGTCCGACTCGGTAAAGTCAAAGGCGCGTATAAGATGGCGGTAGAACGTCGTGTTTATCCCCTCGATGATAGGATTGTGACCGTAAACCCTCGCCTTGTTTCTGTCCTGGAGTTTTCTGCAGGCATTCTCAAATACGTCGACGGAGGAGGAGGAGGAGGAGGAGGAGGAAGAGAAGATGGAATCCTTGGGGGGGTTGTTTTCGAGAGTGCGGATTTAGTTGCTGTTCTAGTTCTCGTTTGCGCTTTTGGAAGCGTCGATGGAAGAAGGGTTGGGAGACGGGTGCGCACGCTCCATTCGGTCAGTTTGTTGAAGTGAACTTTTGACCTTGTTGACGACTGTGAGAGAGCATGTCCTCAACGCACATGTCACTGCATCTGCGCTAGTGCTAGTGTGATACGTGGGCACGCCTTGAGCTTAATTCCAGCCAAGGGCGCTAGTGACGGGGACTATAAAAGCGGCAATTCCGCCCGGAGAACCGATAGTAAGAAGGATCTCGCTACTCGCTAGTTCTGATGCCATTACCGAGTACCTCGTACATATTGATCATGGCGTCTTGCATCAGCACCCAGCACCAGCACCAGCAAGCGACTGACATGGATTCATCTATCAGTAATATCGCCGCTTTGGACCCGCCGAGACCTGGGGATCTAATCCGGTCGAAGTACCTGAGGTATGTATACTGAGTACTTCAGATGCACACTCGACTGAGCTTCCCTTGTCCTACCTGTCCCTGATATCCCCGCTTACACCTCATATCCATCGCATCGATCATACCTTCATACCCTCATACCCTCATACCCTCATACCCTCATACCCTCATACCCTCATACCCTCATACCCTCATACCCTCATACCCTCATACCCTCATACCCTCATCCTCGGTATCATCGTTTTCAGTGTTCGTGATTCACACCCCATGATTCCTCGAACCCCAGTGCCTCGCGTCGCCGCTCGCGTAGGCAAAATCCCGCCCTGCCACGCGCGCACGCTCGCGGTCCTGGGCCGCCGCGTCGTTGGACCACGTCGGGTGCGCGACGTACGTGCCCGTGTCGGCGTTGAACATGGTCCGCGTCGGGAACGAGTATGTCGCGTTGGGGTGGTTCTTGAGCGGGCCGCCGAGGGTGGACCATTTGGGGAGGATGTCGGAGTTGGAATTGGAAGACATTGGGGTTTCTTGTCGTCCTGGGACTTGAGATCTCGCTGGTGTGGATGTTGATTGGTGGGGTGGATGGGTATGTAGAGGAGCTGTCTGTCCTGTGGAAAACTGTCGAGTGGTAGTCTTGTGGTGTCGGATCTCTTTCGTCTGCGTTTTCAACTCGATCGATGAGGTACCTAGGTAGACAAGACAAGAACGCTTCAAGAAAACGGACATATTTAAGAAGATCTCATCTCCTTATATCACCTTGAGTTCGTTTGCTTCTCGCATCGCATCTCGTTGACGAGCTTCATGATAGTTTCTTTATGGACCAGAACTGGTTGGCACACTGGCACCCTGCCTGGCACGGAGTCTGTCAACGATGGCGGAGCTGAGGAGTTGAATCGTCACGATAACAACACCCTATGCCGACTCTTGAGAATTCTTGCGCGTCGCGGGGGGGCGAGGGAGAGACTTTGTCCGCTGGTCACTGGTCACTGGTCACATCACTCGACTATAGGGGGGATTACAGGGTGATGATGTCTCCAAAGATGAAGAAACATTCGTCGAGGACAGTCATGACACTTTGGTCTGAGTGAATATGACGTTAGCAATATACATACACATTACCACAGCAAGCAAGTGATATCAGATGTAGAGCAAGGAGGGAGGAGAGGAGAGGAGAGATTCCTTGTTTCTTTACCTCCCACTCCCCTTCCTATCCTTGCACGCATGTATGCATGCATGCATAGATATCACCTGTCTGTCTGTTATATTGACAGCCTACAGCCCACAACAGAGTCCTCCAGTCCTATACCTCTCCCAAAAGCAAAGAAATGTATTCGAGACAGCACTCGCAAAGCATCCGAGATGCAACGCCATATCCACGATACCCGTAGCAAAAGCTAGACACACACTCGCCCGCCTGGCCCTTATCCCAGCCCCTACACCTATCCATGGCGCTTAGCCATGACGCTTCGAATCCCAATGTCTCCAGTCCGACCTTGTGTACGCCCAATCCCTGCCCTCTGAGCCGGCACCCTCCCGATCCCGCGCCGCGCGATCATTGTCCGCGCTCGCGACTTGCTTCTCCTCTCTGTGTCTCGCGTACCCGTCCGGGGGGATGGACACATTCTCGCGGTAGCGGTCGAGAAATGCGACTTCGCGAAACGACGAGTAGTCCGTGGAGCCTGACGAGGAGCCCGCGCCGATGGGGTAGAGGAAAGAGTATTTCTCCTGGGTGTTGGCGGTCGAGTGTTGGGTGTAGTCGTAGTCGTCTTCGGAAGACATGACGACTTTTGTCAGAAGTTGGGATTTTTGTGGAAGTGGTTGTGGTGTGTTGGACTGTGTTTGAGGGGGAGGCTCTTTGTGTGAAACGTTCGAGAACGAGGAAGAGAGACGGGTAGAGAGCGACGAGCAGAGAGGACGATGGAGAAAAGGGAGGGTGGGAGAGACTGTTTGCTCTGACATGGCATGTCACTGTGTCGTTTCTTGCGTTGTCGATTGAAAGATGGGATGTGCTCAGAAGTCATCGCCAGTGACCAGCAACTTGTACATCACTTCAGAGTGAGTCTCGATCCTGGGTGCGGCACCCATCAATATTACTCCTTTTTCGTCTGGTCCGGCTCATGCTCGTAGGGAGCCAGCTCCCTGAAGGGTCTCCAGATACTCCATGTCACTGGCGGAAGTGATGGCCAGCTGAAGGCCAGGAAGTCCAGACTGGCTGCGTATAACGACGTCCACGGGAGCTGTCTAAGAAGACCTCGACTCTTCTTACATCGAATTCGCAAACACATAGAGTTAATGAACATGACTGTGTGGCCGTGACTTCATCATGGACACAAAACTCGGACGACCTGTGGCGGACGACCAACAGTCACAGTGAGAGACTCTCTCCACAGTCGGCATTCACTCCTTCTCGTCCGCATCCTTGGAGTCGTCTTGCACGGCATACGCCCAGTCATAGCACCTGACACCCTGTCCCAGCCGCTCTCTTGCCGCCTGCTGATTAGCCGCACTAAAGGCCCTCTTGTCCGCCTGAAGGCGCTCGGCTTTCCTAGAGATTTCGACGCGTTTTTCCAGGAGCACGTCCCTTTCTTCCTGGCTGGACTCCTCCGAGGGGAAGTAATCCCGAAAGACAGTCTGGATGTTCTCGGTCTTGTACTGCTCGTAGTACGCGGTGACCACGACGGGTGGTTCTGATTTGGTGGTGTCCGCTGCCGCGCGACGGCCTTTGAGCATTGTGGGTAGGAAATCCATCTCTTCGAACCGAACCGAAACGCAGAGTGACTTTTGTGCGTCGAGGGAACTCTCTCAGCTCATCATAGACCTTGCAGATGTCGACAAGAAGTACAAAGGATAAAACCCTCGGGGTCGTGGCAAGACAAGACAAGGGAAAAAAAAGGTCGAGGTCAGCCGCTCTTGGCCCCCACGCGCCGCACGGGCACCGCAGCGGCACCGCAATAATCTGCCTGTGGCGAGCATCGATTACTATGTAGTATGTAAAGTCGTTGCCCCATTGCTTCGAGAGTGGTCGCAAGTCGCAAGCTGGGCGAACCGCCGCTTTTGACGGCTATAAGAAACCTCGTCTTCCATCCTCGTCTCTCTCCTCTGCCGCATCGAGCTCCCCTTTCTGCCTTCCCTCTAATTTAGTCTCGTTCATAGGCAATCCATTACACTTTTGGAGCTCTCTTCATCTTTCTGTGTCTTTGCCGTCACTGTCAGTTAGCCGCTAATTTATTGCTTCAGTGTCATATCTGTAGCGCCAAAAGCACCCGCCGAATATTTAGTTGGCTGTTTGTGCTTCTGTATCAATATCTGTGCTTTGAAAATCACACTACCCCAGTGAGTACTTATCGTGCCGCCATTACTACGGTGCAGCCTTGTATACCTTGACTGTGAATGTCCCCTTGCGCGCAACCACGAACTGTTCTTGCTGCCGACTGTGGTCCTCTACACTGTCGATAGCAAATATCAAGTGTCAATTGAGTAAATTGAGAGTCTCTGCCCTTGCACCCTACGTCCGACTAAGCGGGCTCTTCATAGACGATAGAATACCCGAAATCCTGCCTGTCTTGCCGCCTCCTGACTTGCCATCGCAGTGAGTCCGCAACTCCGATATCGCTGTGGCAGGTGTAAAACCAGGCAATTGGGCCAACGCAAGTCTATTGCGACGTGGTATCCTCGCTAGACCAGCCCACTCCTCCACAATCTTTATGCGGAATTATGGCGAATATTGAGCAGTCAACATTTCATACCATGGTAGTAGCACTAGAAGTGCAGCCGCCAACAATAATCTCGACGAAGGACTTGACTTCTTCATGTCCATTCCCCGATCTGCTCCAGTCGCTGTCTCGCCACTCCGAGCTCCATTCCAGCGCTCTTGAAGGGTAGCAGTTGATAATAAAACGAGAGTCGTGCAGAGCGCTAGCACAACAACAGAGTCAAAGATTGAACCTCCATTTTGGATCCGCGCCCTCGCTGCCATACGTCCCATCCTCTCAAGGAGCCAGATCTGGACCCCCTGCCAGAAGACAGCTATCTTCAAAAGTGCCCCCGAAGACGTCTTTACGCGTGAGCGACGATGGTCTCCTTGTTTGAACGCCGAGTCTTGCTCTAACGACAATTGCTCATCAACACTGGGCAGCCCACTGTTAAACTTCTCGTCTGAATCCCTAGTTTGATCGACGCTTGAATCGGCTTTCGAACAACCTTTGGGCTTTCCAAGTTCGGTGTGACTCTCGCTGTGAGTCGCAATATCGGGTTTTTCGGTTCTACCGGAGGAAATCCCGGTAGCAGCATCGTCCGATGCCATTCCTGCCACATGGCAAAGGACGCACGCTATGACGATCATGCCCGGATAGTACCATATTAACCACAGGACGAAGCTGAGCGAGTCAAAGGGCAGTTCGGCCATTGAATTCACTGGTGAGCTCATCACAATGGAGGAACAAGTAATGAGCAGCCAGTTTTTGGATGGTGAGATGTATTTCTATTGAAAACGGTTGATAATCTCCGCTCACAGTTCGAGAGACATCAACTAGATTACGTGAGGTCGTGTTACGAACTCATCTTGAGCGACGCGGATTTGGCGCAGTTTAGGGCAGGTCCCAACGAGGAATCAATAAAGGCATGGCACGTGACATGATCTATGGATCTGGTGTCACTGTTTGCCTCCTTGGCACATTTACGTAAGGCAGCCCATAAAGTCTGACGGTGCCTGTTCCTGTCTACTGTATACAAGCCTACAGTCCTAGCAGCACGCATCAATACCTCTGCGGTCTGGACTCACCCCCCCTGTATCAAGTCGCAGCAGGTCGTCACAAAGTTTCTCGCTTTCGCCACGCGCCGGTGCCGCCCGGCACCCGCGTTAATCCTTCATTTAACGCCGACCTCTGTTCCCCTTAGCACAAAATCATCTCTTCTTACCACCCCCGGGGCCATGGCGGCCGAAACATGGTTGACCTCGCCACAGGGCAATCCTCAGATCAGCCGTGTAGCTTCTCGCTAACACTAGTCTAACACAGTGCCCTATTGTAGCGCCCGCACGCCGCAGTAGAATTTGCTTGGCCGCTCCAATCCGTCGTCTTCGAGTGAGGTTAACCCTGTAGAATGAGGTTGGAGCCAGTTCGATTTGTAGAGCCGGGGCAGTGCAGTCGAAGGCATTCATCATTTCCGAAGAGTTGGAAGGATCCCATCCTGGATTCTGAAGGGTGGCTGTTACTAGTCCCCAGTAATGGCTGTATGGTTGCGTGGCGCGTGGGAAGGAGGCAAGAGGGTCGATCTGGGAGGAGGACGAAGGAAGAAAGTATTCAAAAGCGGCGGCACCGACCGCCAAATTCGGCGAGGATTTTCTCTGTAACCTGCCAGCTGCCTGCCTGCGCTGAGATGTAATTATCGTCGATTAGTATTCAACATTTGGTCAGCATCCCACCGCTGCAGAGGGTCCAGAGGGCAAGGTCACGGATTAGAAGATTAGACGCTGAGTCATGGCCCGTCAGGTCAGAATCGGTGTGTGAGGACAAATGCGTTGTGGTTGGGGCGGCAATTTAATACATAGGAGGCATCGTGGACATCAAGACGGTGGTGACCGACGAGGAAAGCGCCAAAATTGACCCCCTGAGGACGAGGATATGCATAACCTAAGAACATTGGAGTCGCTTCCATCCACTGAGAAACAGCCCTTGGTCCAGCTCTTCCCGTCGCAACCCGTCGCAAAGTGGCATAATAGGCCACCTTGATGTTGTCCCCCCCTCAGATACAGTCTCGTCAATTTCTCAGAGAATATACGTGAATTCAAGGCTCTGATCGCCTTCTTTGCCGTTGGTGGTGGCTCCTTCGGCAATTATCTTTGCCTTCCTGGCATTTCTCCTCTTCAACAGCAACCAGCACGATGCATAGAGAAATCCGGCCACAATCGTGAGACCGGCCGAAATGGCGTTACCTGGGACATATCGTGGACCTTGTGGACTAGGATATAGTTGTCCAGAAACGAGGTTGGATACGTTAGCCAAGCTATAGGCAAAGGGCTGGCCGATTGCGCGCTTCGTGTCGGGTGCGAGATTCGTGGTGATCCACGTTACCGCCAAAGTAGAAATGGGATACAGCCCTGGGTGAAGGTCAGTCCGAAGTACCTCTCAGGAAAGGCCGGCTGTGACTCACCTATGACGAGGACAAACATGCCGGCATACCCAACATTGGGGTTCTTCGACCCCACGCACATCAGATAGCCAACGGCGACAGGGACACAACATCCAACAATGAAGAATCCTCGCTTCCGGAGCTTGTCCGAGTAGTAGACCTGGATGCACAGGGAGATGGCACCGATAACATAGACTGGGATGGTCATGTAGTTGACCTTGAGGGAGGCAAAGCTGTAAATATGTCAGCAGAAGAATATTGGACCACCCCGGCACTAGAACTCACCCGAGACCGTCGATGATGGTGGGTAGAAAGACCCCGAATCCGTTGATAGCGACGGATGAGGTGAAGAAAGCAATACCAAGGAGCCAGACAAATGGATCAGTCAGGGCGATTTTGATCCACTTTCGCTCCATCTTTTCTTCTCCTCGGATCAGGTAGTCTCGTTCCTTCTTGAGCCTCATCGTCTCCTTCTCCTCTGCGGTAAGAAACCATGCTTTCTCGACTTCGCCTGGCAGGAAGAACAAGCCAATGCCACAGATGACCACGGTGATGCCAAACTCGATTATGAAGAGCCATCTCCACGCGGCAAGACCATGCCGAGATCCCATCGTCTGAACGGCGTATGCGAAGAGACCACCAAACGCTCCAGAAATACACTGGGCAAGGTTGGTGGTCATAATCCGCTTCCCGGCCAGCTCTCGCGGATAGATAGTCGAGAACAGAAAGGCAAAGGCTTGAGCGAGGCCAGCTTCGGCAGCGTTCAGCAACATGCGACAGGCTATGGTCTGACCGTACGTTTGAACAAACGCAGTCCCAAGGGTACAGATACTCCAGAGGACAAACGCAGTCCCGATGGCCTTTTTGGCACCCCATCGTCGGGTGGCCAGGACCCAAGGGACCTCAAAAACAACAGTACAGACACTGGACAGGGTCTGGATGTTACCGAACTGGCCGCCTTTCAGTCCGACATCTTGGTCAAACCCAAAGACGCGAGCATTTCCAAGCTGGACCGAGCAAGAGTTAGCAAGATACTACACGACCAAGGCACAAGGCAACAGTGGCTCACATTGTTACGGTCAAGAGTGGACATGACCAGATAGATGACCGAGATTGGTACGACATAAATGTCGAATTTCCGGCGCACAGCTGCTTCCTTTGCGGGATCAATGTATATGGCGGTGGTGGTGCCAACTGCGTGATCTTCGGTGATGCTGGTGGCATCGTAGACTGTATCCTTGGCCATCTTTTCATTCTCCTTGACCATGTCCATGTTGGGGACAGATTCAAGCCAAGACTTGTATGAGAATATGAACCTGTTGTTGAGATGGGAGGAGGTGTTGAAGGAGACTGAACGGCCACCCCATTCCGAGTCGAGTTGCGATGTTATATACACCATCGCCCGCCATGAGGCCTCAATAAAGCCATCTCGTTGCACATATCTTTCGAATGCCCTTGTTCAATGCCATAGATGATAATCGCTTGTCAATTGTTGAATGTCATTGACGGCACCGAATCAGCGTCCCGCCCCTGTTATCAGACTCGCCCGTGTCGGGATTTGCCGACGCACATTTCATTCCATCCCATCAACTCATCCATCCTTCATCAGAACAATCATCCCTATCGTCTCTCTCCTGCAAGTCGCTATCCCGATACACAATGTCTCCCGATCAAAAGAGAATCAGAGGCGGAGTGAATGCATGCCAGAGGTAAGAGGAACAAGATGGTCAAAGATTGGATGGTGAATCTTATCAATGCGCAGGTGTCGTCGGAGAAAACAAAAGGTATCAACACAACAACATGGCGATACGGCGCTTTGAGCCGCTGATGACACGTCGAGTCTGCCAGTGCGATCAGAAATATCCGCAATGTTCCAGCTGCGAAAAAGCCAACGTCCCGTGCCTCACGTATCATGCCGGGAAACAGGCGGATGTCAGTATCTCTCCTCCCCTCGAAGCCCCGAGTATCTGGCCTGCTCTGCTGATAGCTCCAAGATTCCTCGTGACTACATCTCCAGCCTGGAAGAGCAGATAGCCACCCTTACACAGGAAGTCCAGCTTCTGCGGGAACGCACACGGGATCCTCCAGCAGCGGACGGAGAGGTGGCAATCACAACAACGACGCCTCGTTCCACGGCCTCAACCCACGAGATAGGCATCCTTCCGACAGCGAGCCAGCCCGCCTCTGATGAAGCCTCGCCTCTTTTCCAGGATTTGGTGACAAAAGTCAAAAGGGTGGTGGTTGAACCTTTCCAGCAACCGCGGTTTCTGGGTCAGAGTAGCGGCATCTCGTTTGCCAAAATGGTTCTGGCAGCCATTCATGTCGAGAACCTGTCGTCGCCGCTTGTCCCAGAGAAGCAGCCATTTCATGACTTCTCGCTGTTGGAGTCCCCCCCAGCCAAAGCGTCGCTGCCGCCTCGCCATGTCGCAGATCATCTGGTCGATGTTTACTTCCAGTACCGGACACCTCACTTGCCAATCCTGGCTCGCTCGCAGGTAAGCAACGCCATCGATAGCGCATATCGTTCTAGCGGGACAGGCTCAGTCTCAGTGGATGTTCCGGAGAGGGACATGTTCATCGCGTACATGGTCTTCGCCATTGCCCTTGTCGACGTCCCGCACACGTCAGGGGGTCGACCAAGCCAAAGTGACGGGTGTTTCCGGTCAGCACTCACCTGGGTCGAAAAGATCCTCACATACTCCAAGAGCGACATTGAAACCCTCCGAACGGTGCTCCTGCTGGCACAGTTTGTCGCACTGTCTCCGTCCCGAGGAAGCCTTTGGCATCTCACAGGCTTCGCGCTGCGTCTGTGTATCGACGTGGGCCTCCACTGGGAGACCGAGTTACAGTGTCTCAACATGGGGGCGGAGGTGTTGAACGACCGCAGACGCCTCTGGCACTCGACATATCATTTCGACCGGCTTCTGTGCATCACGCTCGGCCGCCCGTTTGGCATTCTCGACGAAAGCACCCGTGTCCAGCTTCCGAATCCCTGGACCGGGTACGGCCGTCAAGGCCTGGGAGAGCAACGAGATGACGAATTCGACATCCACACCCATCGGGCGCACAACCATCTATTCACCCTCGCGAGACTCGAGTCGGAAATCAGACATGTCCAGCACAGCCAAGTGTGGACGCTGAGACCGGCATACCCGCGACCGAACTGGACGTCCTGGCTGCAAGACATTCTTCCGCGGTTGCAAGAGTGGAACACGACCATTCCGGACCCCGGCAAAGCGCATCCGTCCTCCATCTTCGCCTCCCAGGCCTACTGGGACGTGACGTACAACAACGCGATCCTGCTGCTCTACCGCCCACAGGCGGGGAGCGTGTACTACCGATCGGCAGAAGAGGTGGTCACGTCGTTCGACGCGTCCTGCAAGGTCATCGCGGGCCTGAAAGTCCTGCAGCGCGAGGGCCGGGTCGAGATGCTGTGGAAGTCGGTGCACCACCTGTTCATGGCCGGGCTGGGCGTCGTCTACGGCCTGTGGCACTCCAAGGAGATCCGGGAGCGGAACCCCGTGTCCAGGAGCATCGCGACCCTCCAATCCTGCGCCTCCACCCTGGCCGCCATGTCCGAGACGTTCCCGGGCGCCGCGGGCTGTCGGGACGCGTTCGACGCGCTGTCATCAACCACGATCGACTGGCTCGTCACCAGGGACATTGAGGAGGTGCACCAGAACCGCGTCGACTTTGAGAACCACGTCCGCGCCTTGACCAGGCAGTTGCAGCTTTCACTCCATCGCGCCCACTCCCGTCCCGGCGAAAGCGACAGCGACGGCGTGGGCACAGGCCATCTTCGTGCCATCGCCGCCGTCGACGAGGATGACGACACGAGCAATACCTTTGACGACCTCGGCGAATTGCTCAGTACGGCGGCCCAGTGGCCCGACCTGGGCGAGTTCAGCTTTATCAGCTAGCTAGCTAGCTAGCCTAGCCTAGCTAACTAGAGAGCTGTAACCGGGTATGAGCAGGGTCACACATTAGGTGTAAACAGTGAAGGTAAACAGCTCAGTGGAGAAGGTAGAGAATGCATAAAGAACCGGGGTAAAAAGATTCAATCCAAGGAGTCCGGATCAGGACAGATGGAATTATCCTCTGGCTCGAATGTGAGGCTGATAAAAGATACATATAAAACTGATGGAATTGAGCGTTCCATAAGAGTATATACCACTTCTACCGATCGCTAGATTAGCCTGGCTGTATGACCCTCTATAAGAAGAGATTTTTCAACCGAGCAGGCTATATATCGGTGATTTCACGACTAACTGACTAACGAGCTGAGCTGCGCTGTGCCTGCAGCTTGCGCTTCCCTCGAAGGCCCGTCGTCCACGATGGAATCGTAGTCCAAGGGTTTCTGGACGAAGCGCGCGTCGACTAGACCTTGCTGCCACCGATCAAACGACCCGAGCGGGATGGTGGTGGTGGTCCACATGCCGGATCGACGGAAGGAATTGACCACCTCGACAGCAACGTCGATGGGAGCCTTGGGGAAGAGGTCGGCGAGTTCGTCGCGGAAGAGGTTGGCGTCGCGCTGCAGCACCCACTCAATGCCCTTGTTCAGCCCGAGGCAGAATCTCCTCTGCATGTCCCGCAGCCGCGGCGTCACGGTCGCGGTTTCGCGGTAGTAGACACTCCAGGGGACTTCGCCCTGGGTGACCATTTCCATGGCGACCGAGACGTTGGGGTTCTGCGCCGCCATCGTCCTCGCGGAGAGGTTGTCGGTGACGAAGAAGTCGCCCATGCCCCCTTGGAACAGGTTTCCGAGCATGACGCCGTCCAGGTCTTGGATGAAGTCCACTGTTGCCGGGTCGACCCCGTTCTCACGCAGCAGCATCTTGAAGAACAGGCCGACGCTGGCGCCGCCGATGGATTTCATCAGGACCGTCTTCCCGACCACGTCAGCCAGGTCGAACTTTGTGCCACAACTCGTGCGTCTGAGTAACGCCAGAGGGCAGCGGTTCGCGATCTGAGCGAACACGGTGTAATCTTGTACCCGGCCACGGTACATGGACGGGACCCAGATTCCACCAAGCGCCATATCAGCGGAGCCGTCGGCGAGCGCGTCGAGAACACCATCCCATGGGGTGGGGATTGTGGTAGTGACATCAAGGCCTTGCTCGATAAAGAATCCATGCCGGTCGGCAATGTATTGAGGGAGGTAGTTGATGTTGTAGCCTGTAGCGGTGAGGCGGAATGGCTCCATGGTTTTGTTACCAACGCTGTTTCTCCCACGAGGTTATGCTGGACCTGAATGTATTTGATGTGGTTTTCAATCTGCGTAGTCAATCCAATTTTAGTACTCGGGCTCGAGCTAGGTTTAGAGGCGGAGGGGAATCGTCTATTCCAGTGTCTCCAGCCACCGTCCAAATAAATACTCTTCCACCAGCGTGGACCCAAGCAGCAGTTGTCAGTGAACAAGCTTCACGGCAAAAGCAGACGAAAAACTATTTGACTCCGATATTCAACTTACTGTATACCTGTTTGTAGGTATCTTTGAGAATATCAGATCGGAAAATCCCGACTCCTTGCAGCGTGAGATAGTCAATCAGTCGAGATCGGCATATCCCAATTCAGCACAGCCATAGATTTCGGAGGGCGCTTGGTTTGTTGGATTGGCGCAGGACAGGCTGTGGACCAACGATGAAGGGTTTGTAGTATCATTCAAGCCATCGAAGTGTGCAAAGGGAAGGGTTCCAGCATTCCAAGCTCAGCCAGACTCGGTCTGTAGTCGGATGGAACCTCAAGAGTTTGACCACGGTACCTTGTAAGCTGCTCCATATACCACCTGACATTGGCCGTTGAAATGTCGGCGAGTATTCAATGCGAGGTGGCTACCATGTCGAGGCTCAAAAAGGGCAATGCCCTGCAGGATCAACGAGACATCAAGTCTTCGAGGGTGGTGTATCTCCATGGGTACAAGAACAAGGCTGATTGTACCGAGTACGTGCCCAATAGAAACTGATCCATTAGCAAATGCTAAAGCAGCCCCAGTGGCGCCATTTCCTTGCTTTGCCCAATTAGGAAATTTAGACGAATCAACCACTAATCCGAGCCGAAACTTTTTGACGTAGCGACCTCGAAGGAAATCCAGTCTACGGCGCAGTCTGGGACGAACAACTGCGCTCATCCAGGGTCTCGTTCTTCTCCTGTCTGGCTCTGAAGGACGCTTGGGAAGACTCCAATATGTGTCATGGCTCTCTCGGACACGCGCAACTATGTCCTTGCCATCGAGAATAACAAGCAGGAAGCCGAAGAAATCGCAAAGTCGGCGGCGCAAAGTAAGTCCGCACATGCCTCGATGGGACTGGTGGGCGAGACTGACAGCCAAAGAACTCGAGAGTCGCCAGACCACCTTGATTGAAGTCGTTCAGTCACTCGGCGAGTACATTAACGACAATGACGAGAAGATCCGGTCCCGAGCCATCTCCTACCTGGTTGCTGTCATTTCAGCGCTCCCTCCAAAGTACCTCTCCAGACAACAGATTCAGGTGCTTTGCCAGTTCTTCTGTGATCGCATCGAAGATGGAGGAGCACTTGACGGACTGTCCAAGCTGCAGGGCCTCGAAAGATTTACAAATGAGATGGCTCAAACTGTCGTGAAAGCGTGAGTGGGGACAACCACGTTCCAGCTACCCAGGACTCGCCCTGAAAGTGGTCCAACGTTGTCTGGCAGCGGTATTGTGCGGTCGGGCTTGGCTGACAGGCATGCTAGGATATTTGAGCACTTCACAGACTTGCAGACACGTAACCAGGCTGGCAGGTACCGCATCCTCCAGCTCCTGAACGCACTCTTGGACCACCACCGCAAAGGTATGATTAGGTGGCTCTTTCCACTGGACATACCGCTGACCCATTTGTAGCCATAAGGGACATGAAGGATGAGTCCCTCGTGGGCATCACGGATTTGGTGGCGGGTGAAAAGGATCCTCGGAATCTGATGTTGATCTTCTCCATGCTCAGGGTGCTCATGGTTGAATGGGACATCAGAGATCATGCACAAACCATGTTCGATTCGGTATATGCTTATTTTCCTATCACATTTCGGCCGCCCCCGAATGATCCCTACGGTATAACAGCCCAGGATCTGAAAGACAGACTACGGGAATGTCTGGCTTCTACAGGGGTACTGGCACCCTATACCTTTCCCAACATGCTGGATCGCCTCGACTCTACTTCCCCCACCGTCAAGAAAGATTGCCTGCAGACTCTGACCGCCTGTGCCACCAATTATGATCCCGAGACTCTGGCCCAATTCTCAATACCCCTCTGGGATGCCGTCAAGTTTGAGGTACTGCAAGCCCAGGAGCCGGAGCTGGCCGAAGAAGCGCTGCACGTCCTTAAAGGTATTGCTGCCTGCTTATCCGTCACGGTTAATGCCTCTCAAAATCCCACCACGTCGCCACTGCATCAATACCTGTCGCCTATCAAAAAGGAATGCCTGGAACATCTGCAAGAGCCTGCGACACGCCAGGCAAAAGCTTCTGGGGACATTTTGAAAGCAGTGTCATCCGCCTCGGTCCAAGCTTTTGAAGTTGTGGTCGAAACCGTTGGACCAGCACTGTTAGGTATCTATCAGTCTTCGGCGGGCTTGGTGCAACAGCGAGCGATCTTGGAGGTTGCCAACCAGTTGTTCGAAGCTGCCATTGAAGTCTATGGGTCTTGGACATCTCCAAGCTCTAAAAATTCCGCAGGGCGACAGAATCTTGTCGGAGAATACAAGGACAAATTTGTGACCCTATATAGCCAAGCCTTGATGGGGACGGTCAAGGAAGAGGTGTCATTCCGGTTGACAGCTGCAAACGGGCTGTTGCTGGTCTCAAAAATGAACTCGGTGCTTGCAGATGACGAGATCGGTCTTTTCGTCCAATATTTCGATGATATTGTCCTCAAAGAGGAGTCCTACGGTCGCGACGAACTGAAAAGGAAAGCCATGACGGCCTTGGCCGAAATATCTCAATTCAAGCCTAGTTTGATCTCCAATATCTCATTTCCAGCTTTCATGGCACGCTTACCTGACTCTGAAGAGGGAGCCCGTACCGCTGATTTCAGCTCTGTGCTTGAAGGGTTGGCGGAGATCAGCCTCGAAAAGGAATTGCTGGGAACACTGATGAGACGCCTTCTGAACAAATTGGACATCCTTTTCAGCTCCAGCCAGGGCCCACCATATCCCTACACCTGCCAAATCTTGGGTACAGTCCTGTACGTTCTGAATCGCAGCGTCTCGGAACAGAAGGCAACATTGGATGCGTATTTCGAACGGGTGGTCGTGGGACTCTCTCGAAGGATATCAGGCGTCAATCACGGTCCGCTGGCGAATGAGAACGTGCTGGATCTACTTGGACGGATCATGAATTTGATCGTCCGACACTCTGCGGAAGCGGCAGTTCAGCAAACTGCAGAAAACTTCTATTCCTTCTTCACTCAATCATCAGCCAGCGAAGGATCTCACAGCCTCGTCCACTTAGTCGATCAGCCTACGCGGACCATCCTCTCGACATGGCTGTTGGCAGCTGTTCCCAGAGGCTCGAACTCCTCGCTGCTCACAAAAGACCAGATTCCCCAGAGTATCCAAAACTTGGTGTCTTTCGCTTCAAACACTCACAGTGCGGCAGTCACCCAGAGTTGTCTTTCTCAAGTTTCTCTCTACGTCAACAAGCATATGGCAACCGCCGATCTGGGGTATATTGACCAATTGGTCTCACAGAAACTGTCGGCGCTCAAGGACGAACCTATGGATGAAACTAAAACGCCCGACTTTGACATTCGCCTCCTCTTTGCGCTCTTCAAAGCTCTAATACTCCGAGTTTCCCCACGGACGAACGAGTACCTGGCCAACCTCGTCCAACTCCTTGATTCGAAGCAGTATCCACACCAAGTCTCTCAGCTGGCAGCCCGAGGTTTCGCCACCATTCTGGCGGCTGATGACATTTTGTGCAAGCAGAATGGAGCGCAGATCAGGTTGCTTGCCCCTCAGCGCGTCTTCCAGACGCTGACGCCGATGATTTCCGACAAATTCAAGACGTCACAGTCAACGCTTGAAAAAGAGAATTTCCTCGTGGCAATGAGTGGTATAATGGCGTCTGTGCCTTCGGAGATCGTGATGCCGGAGCTTCCGACCCTCTTGCCCCTTCTTTTGCAGTCCTTGGACATTGCAGATCAGACTGTCAAGATTGCGACTTTGGAAACGTTCGCGGTTGTTATATCCAACAACCCCTCTGCGCTCGAAGAAAGCGGCCACATACCGGCTCTGGTGAAGCGACTGATCGCTGTAGCGACGCTGACGAAATCCAAGGCAGCCGGTCCTGTGAAATCAGCCTTCCCCGAGAAAGGACTTGCACCCGTACCTCCAACAAATCTGCCCAAGACCCGGCGTTTGGCGGTCCGCTGTCTCGCTTTGATGCCCAAATATATCTCAGCAAGCGCATCCCGAGGCAATCCTTTGATTCCACTCAAGCGCGAAGTCCTGCATGGGCTGACGAATATCTTGGATGACACGAAGCGTGATGTGAGGAAGGAAGCTGTTGATGCTAGAGCTGCGTGGCTGAGAGAAGTTGACGATGCTAATGATGACGATGTATAGACATGACTCTGTGGCGTAGCAGGGAGGGAATGAGTATATAGAATCAACTACTGATCAGAACTAGAGAGGCGGGGGAATGATGGTTCAATACATGAAGGGGGGGACGCGATGACTAGACTACTGGATCAATAGTACAAACGTGTAAGTAATCTCACTTCGAGGGCTTCCATCTCCCATTGGGCTGCCGAAACAAGTCAGTGACCTGCGCAGCAACAAGTTCAGGGTTGCAGCCTCGTGTGGCGTGCGTGACAGCCTCGTGAGGGTTGATTACATAAGTAACATTTTGCGGAGAAATGTTTTTACCCGGTCGAAGAATCGCAGGCAGAAAAATGGCCTCTTTGCCAACTCCAACAATCTAACGCAGATGCTCTGATGAGCATGACCGGATAACAGTACTGTCCTTCGTTCAAGAAGTGTGTCGACTGCAAAGGACCAAGAGATCGTTAATAGATGAGGCGCCTCGATCAGGCGCGGATTTCGTCACCAGGTGAATTCCACTCCCACCAGAGAATCATACCATCTTCGACATGTCTGAACCGCGGTCCAGCGAACCCCGTATCAAGTCTCACAAAAGAAACACTGCACACCGCAGACGTCGCGACGATGACGACTTTGACGAGCGGTGGGGCGACGAGGAGGTCGTGGAGGAGGAGGAACAAGACGCCGCCGCAGGCGATTTCGCGGAATCCTCTGCCAAACGGCTGAAACTCTCTGACGGCTCGGCTTCGCACCGAAAACAGAACGATACACCTCCTCCGCAGACGGACGAAGAGAGGGCGCAGAGGGAAAGAGAAAAGGATGCGAAGGAACGAGACGAGTTTGCGAAGCGGCTGGCGAAGCGGGACGAAGAGCGGGCAAAGAAAATTGTGGAAGACAGGTCCGCCGCCAAGGACAGTGCGACCGCTCAGCGACGCGCGTTAGCCGACGACGCATCGGCGAGAGAGGCGGCGATGCCAGATCTGAGAATCCGCTCCAGACAGGACTACCTGAAGAAGAGAGAGGCGGAAAGACTGGCGCTGCTGCGCAAGCAGGTCGCCGAGGAGCAGGCGGAACTCAGAGACAACCCAGATCTGTCCAGACGAGAAAAGGAAGAATTCGCACGCAACAAGGAAATTCTGCGCCTCGCTGAGGAGAGGCTGGCCATCGACGATCACCTCGACGGTTATGCTCTTCCCGAGGACTACATCACCGAAAAGGGCAAGATTGACAAGCGGAAAAAAGAGCAGGCTCTATACCAGCGTTACGTTGATCGAGACGAGGCCGGGAGAGAACGGTATGTGACCGAGCACGAGGAATGGGAGAAGGAGCAGACCAAGAGGGCCGAAGCCCAGATTAAGAAAGCCGAATACGTCGACGAGGGCGAGTACACGTATGTCTTCGATGAGAGCCAACAAATGCGGTTTATCCTGTCGGACACCCTGCAAGGAGACAAAGGTATGACCAGGGAGCAGAGGGAGATGCAGCAGAGGCTCAGCGCTGCAGAGGCAAAGGCCAAGAGCATCGAGGAAACGAGAAAGAGTCTGCCCATCTATCAATTCCGGGACCAGATCATCCAGGCGGTCAAAGATCATCAGGTCCTGATTATCGTGGGTGAAACAGGAAGCGGGAAGACGACGCAGCTCCCGCAGTATCTCCATGAAGCTGGCTTTACGAAAGGCGGCATGAAGATTGGGTGCACGCAACCCCGGAGAGTGGCTGCCATGTCGGTCGCCGCAAGGGTAGCAGAGGAGATGGGAAAGCGACTGGGAAACGAAGTCGGCTATGCTATTCGGTTCGAGGACAACACCAGCGACAAAACCGTCCTAAAGTACATGACGGACGGTATGCTGCTGAGAGAACTGCTGACAGACCCCGAACTGTCTCAGTATTCGGCGCTTATGATCGACGAGGCGCACGAACGGACAGTGAGTACCGACATTGCATGTGGGCTGCTGAAAGACATTGCGCGAGCGAGACCTGATCTGAAACTCCTGATTTCCTCCGCCACTATGGACGCTAGGAAGTTTCAGAAATACTTTGACGATGCGCCCATATTCAACATTCCCGGCAGGAGATATGCGGTGGACATCCATTATACGGCTCAACCAGAAGCCAACTATCTGGCTGCAGCGATTACCACGGTCTTCCAGATCCACATCACGCAGGGAACAGGAGATATACTTGTGTTCCTGACTGGGCAGGAGGAGATCGAAGCAATGGAAGCCAGTCTCCAAGAAACAGCTCGGAAGCTAGGAAGCAAGATCAAGGAGATGATCATCTGTCCCATCTACGCGAATTTGCCCACAGACTTACAGGCCAAGATTTTTGAGCCTACGCCCGCCGGGGCACGCAAAGTGGTGTTGGCCACCAACATCGCGGAAACGTCACTGACTATCGATGGCATTGTCTACGTCATCGATCCAGGCTTCGTCAAAGAGAATCAGTACAATCCACGTACAGGTATGGAATCCTTGGTCGTTGTCCCCTGCAGCCGGGCTTCAGCGGGTCAACGCGCCGGTCGTGCCGGTCGAGTTGGTCCTGGCAAATGCTTTCGACTTTACACTGCTCAAGCATACAAGAATGAACTCGAGGAAAACACAACACCAGAAATACAGAGAACAAACCTTTCTGGGGTCATCCTCATGTTGAAAAGTCTTGGGATCAACGACCTTCTCGACTTTGATTTCATGGATCCGCCCTCGACCGACACCATCGTCCGTGCCGTGGAGCAGCTGTACGCGCTGGGTGCCCTGAACAATGCTGGGGAGTTGACCAAGATTGGTCGTCAAATGGCCGAGTTCCCGACAGACCCCATGTTGGCGCGTGCAATCCTAGCGGCCGACAAATACGGATGCGTGGAGGAGGTTCTTTCGATCATCGCAATGCTTGGAGAAGCATCGGCACTCTTCTTCCGTCCCAAGGACAAGAAAATCCACGCCGACAGTGCCAGGGCCAGATTCACCAACAAGGATGGCGGTGATCACCTTTCACTACTGAACATCTTCAATGAATGGGTCGACTCCGACTACAGTTTTGTGTGGGCGAAGGAAAACTTTCTCCAGCAGCGTAGCTTGACTCGAGCGCGCGACGTTCGAGACCAGCTGGCAAGGCTATGCGACCGGGTTGAGGTGGACGCAAGTAAGACTTGCGGCGGCGCTTCAAACATTGAACCGGTGCAGAAAGCCATCACGGCGGGCTTCTTCCCTCACTCGGCTCGACTTCAGCGAGATGGACAGAGTTACCGCACGGTCAAGAACGGGCAGGTTGTCTATGTTCATCCCTCGAGCGTCCTTAACGAGAGTCGGCCGAAATGGATCATCTACCACGAACTGGTTTTGACAAGCAAGGAGTACATGCGTAGCTGCATGCCTTTGAAGCCGGAGTGGCTGATTGAAGTGGCGCCCCATTATTATAAGAAGCAGGATCTGGAGAGTCTGGGCGTGGAAAGGAAGGTTCCCAGGGGCGAAGGCAAGGCCCAGAGTAAGATATGACGGAGTGGGAGGTGCTGCGATGAGACGAGACATGCACATGTGTATCTACCCACTGTGGAAATTGAGATCTTCCATTCTCTTCGCTGAAATCAATCCCAGCCCATCGACGAGGCTGAAGTTCAGCCTGACGATGCCAGCCTCGTCCCTGCCAAGCCCCCACATGCGCCGCGCCGTGCCGCAAATCTTCTCGACCATCAGAATAAATTTTTATTTTGTCCTGAACTTTTTCCTTTTTCCGCCTGAGCCGAGAATAATCACCATGTAAGTCCGTCGACACTTCGTTTCTCAAAGGCTATCTTCTGTCCGAACATGTCGCTAGGCTCAGGACCAGTGTCCCATCCGAGCTGCAAGGTCATTCTTGCGGGGACCATAGCGAAGGGACTGTTGGCAGAAATCCAGGCTGGTCTAAAGGAACTCGATCGCAAGCCACATCTGTTGGGGATTCTGGCAAACAATGATCCCGCTGCCAGAGTGTATGCCGATTGGACCGAGAAGACGTGTCGCGAAAAGTAAGTTTTTCTTCTTTCTGTCATCGTTAGTCCACCATGACGCTCCATCGGGCAAACATGGTGAGAGAGCGAGAAGGGCTTGAGAAGCGAAATCTGGACCCCCCTTTGCCGTTTTCTTGTCCTCTGAATACGTCCTGACGTGATGGTAACGGGCAAAAGTGGCTTCGCGTACACGCTCCAAGAAGCGGCAAAGGACTCGGTGGAGGAGGTCGTGCTCGCGGCCAACGCCAACCCGACCTACGACGGCATCATCATCTACTACCCGATCTTCAACAACCGGGGCCAAGACCAGTACATCCAGAACATCGTATCCCTGGCCAAGGACGTCGAGGGCCTGAGCCACCAGTACATCTTCAACATGTACCAGAACATCCGGTTCCTGGACGAGGCGCAGATGGTCAAGAGCATCCTGCCGTGCACGCCGCTGGCCGTGATCAAGATCCTCGAGTACCTGCACATTTACAACACCATCCTGCCCTACGGCAACAGGCTGTTTGGCCGGACCGTCTGCGTCGTCAACCGCAGCGAGGTCGTGGGGCGGCCGCTCGCCGCGCTGCTCGCCAACGACGGCGCGTGCGTCTACTCGGTCGACGTCACGGGCGTGCAGCAGTTCACCCGGGGCGAAGGGATCCGCAAGCGGAAACACGAGGTGGTGGAGAAGGAAGGGTGGACGATTGAGAATTGCGCCCCGCTGTGCGACGTCGTCATCACGGGCGTCCCGGGCGAAGCGTACAAATTCCCCTGCCACCTGTTGAAGGAGGGGGCCGTGTGCATCAATTTTTCCAGCGAAAAGGTGAGTCTTCATCCGCCACACGGTCTTCTTGCAATCGGCAATTGAAACTGATGTCCCCACAGAACTTCCCTCCCGAAGTCAAGGAAAAGGCGTCCATCTACGTCCCCGCCATCGGCAAAGTCACCATCGTCGTGCTGCTGCGCAACCTGCTCCGCATCGTGCAGAACCGGCAGGCCCAGGTGACCAAGGAACAACAACATTCCGCGGCTCAGGCATCCGCGGTTGGAGACAGTCTGAGAGTCGAGGCTATCGACAACAATGATACTGTGGCAGACGGGCGAAAAGGAGAAACGGCCCCGAACGGGGTTGCGAGGTAACTCTCTCTACCCGGTTCTTTTGCGGCTCGCGATTCCTGCATTACCGATACCCCATTACTCAGTGTGACATGACACGACATGACACGAACATGACAAGTCCAACTTGAAACCGATTTGAATCGACTCGACATCGAAATGAAATCTGTGAGATCGATTCCATGTATATCACCTCGACATACCTCACTCACTCACTCGCGCGAGGGAGTACCGCGGATCGACGGTACTATACTATAGTGCGAGGCACACCTCATATCCCCAGATTCGACAAATGCAGGCAGGCAGGCAGGCAAGAAAAACAACAGAGGGTCCTTTTCTCGCTTGGTGCCAGATCCCGATTTCTCGATTGGGACGAACCACAGATACCAATACAAATACAAATACGAATACAAAGAGGTCAGCTCCATTGGGTGTGTGTGTGTGTGTGTGTGTGTGTGTGTGTTTGTGGTCAACGAGGCTGCCTACCTACCTGTCGCTCAGTCGGTCGGTCAACTAACCATTCGTCCGTTTTGATAGAAAAGACTTGGTACGAAATCACTTTAAAAAAACCTTTATCATAGCCCCAAAGTGTCAGAGGTGGTAATTAAGTACTACGACTCTCTGGGCCATCTGCTGAGACCCTCCATACGGTTATGTATGAGTGGGGATCGACCCCCGCCTTTCTGGCAGGGGATTTCATGCCGAGGCCACCAATGGCGCAGCAGTAGTCCCCTATGTGAATACAGACGATTACCCGAGGTGCCTTTGGAGCCGGGCAGTGTTTAGTGCTATTCATTGTATTATGTGCTGCATACCCCGGCCTTGACTCTTCCAAAACCAGGAGACAGCAAGATAGATGGCCAGCAGAGTGGACTTCTGAGCTTTGCCTGCAAATTTTCTAAACAGAAAAAGCGAAAAGGTTCAATTATTATCTCTGGGATTCGTTCTCATGCATATCCTATTTCTTGGATCGTTCGTTATGGATCGAGGCATTCCCCGTCATTTAACAGCGAGAAGCCTCGGCAAAACCACCCTGGTTCCTGTTTCCTGATGAGCTGGCCCGGCACAGTTATAATAATCAGATAGTAAGTAGGCCGGCTCCTGAAAGTCGCAAATTGCTTGACCTTTAGATCAGGATTTGCACGGTGCCATCTCCTCCAGGGCCGGCCAACAAAAGAGCGCTACCACCTCCAGATCGATCTCTCGGAGCCTTGATCTTGGTTGGGTTCGACGTCCAATCATGGCTTCAAGCAGACTCTCTCAAATTGACATTCCGGAATCGTATGCACAATTGCCCCTCACTCAGGTTCTGGTGTCGCATTATCCCGAATCATCCCCGACCGCGACGCCAGTCATTGTTGTCACCTTGAACCGGCCACAAAGGCTCAATGCATACACGCCGACCATGGCGATTGAGTTGGAAAGAGTCTTCGGGCTCTTGGACCGCGACGAACGGGTCAAAGTAGTCGTTCTGGCTGGGGCAGGAAAGAGCTTCTGTGCGGGAGTCGACCTCGAAGGGGGCCTCTCGGGCGGCGCAGAGGAAGAGAAGACTCGTGACGCCGACTACAGAGACGGGTAAGCCAATGAAGCATCTATCAGTCCTGAAACTCGAAATGCGTGCTCATGTATACATTCAACTGGTAGAGGGGGGCGGATATCACTAGCCATTCACCGCTGCTCGAAGCCTACCATCGCAGCGATCCATGGCGCTGCAGTCGGGGTCGGCATAACCATGTGCTTGCCCGCATGCGTTCGGATTGCGTACTCCAAGGCCAAAATCGGGTTTGTCTTCGCTCGGCGGGGCCTCGTCCTGGAAGCTTGCTCGTCTTATTACCTCCCGCGACTGATCGGATTCTCCAAGGCGCTTTACCTGACCACCACGGGCTTGGTCTACCCTGCGGACAGTCCTTATTTCGGCGCACTCATGTCTGAACTGGTCTCGACACCGGAGCAGGTCCTTCCGAGAGCTCTGGAACTGGCTGACGAGGTTGCCAAAAATACATCACTTGTCTCCACCAAATTGATGAGAGAAATGATGTATAGGGGCCCCGATAGTCCAGAGGGCGCGCACTTGTTGGATTCCAAGATTACTCACGCATTGGCTACCAGCAAAGACTTCAATGAGGGTGTCCGGAGCTTTCTCGAGAAGCGGCCACCCCATTTCACAGCGGACGTCCTTCACGATGCACCCAATGTCTATCCATGGTGGCCTCAGATCGACACCAGCCCTGGAGCTTCGGGGAGAAATAAGTCGAAGTTGTGATGTGCCCCATAGCAACCCTGAAAGTCAAGCTATTTACGCCCTAGGGATTCACAAGGCATATAAATTCAAAGGCGACAGTTCCTGCTGGTGCCGCTTAGTCCAGTGAACTGAACAGCGCAAAGCATTACAGTCGAATCTTTCCTGGCTGGTCTAACATTTCTTTTGTAACTTTTGGGCAAGTAGGTGATGTACCTCTAGTAAATATATATATATACAGTTATATATATATATAATAAAGAGTCA